TATTTAAATTACAAAAATGAAATCTTTTAACGATTAATGCGGTTGAAAATATTTTTAAAAAAATAGAATTTGAAAAAAAAAAGTTTCAACAATTGTATGTTGAAAACATTTTAATGTAAAATAAGAATGAGAAAATAAAAGATGAATATGAAAGATAGTTTTTCATTAAACTTGGTTTCTCAAGATTCCATGAGGAATAGTTGCTGTCAACCAAACTCTAAAACAATTGCTAAAAACATATTGTTGGTTCTATTGGGAAAAAAAACTTAAGAAAAATGTAGAAGACATTAGTTAAAAAAAACCTCTAAAATCCTAACAAAATTAAGAAGAATTGCATACTCGGATTAATCGTCTCGAATCGTCTCGAAATAAACCTGAAAAAAAATGTAACCACTAAAAAGGGCATATTGAAGTTTGGTGATGCTACATGAAAAATTGTAACAAAAAAACTTCAAAAATCTCAATAAAAGTCAAAAGGAATGCATACACATATTAGTTTTCTCAAAGTATACTTGAAAAAAGATAACCATTACAAAAATATGTTGAAATTTGTTGAGGCTACATCATGGTTTGTAATACTTTCAAGATTCTATCATCAGACGATTATTTGAACCATTGTTGCCATGAAAACTCTAAAAAGTGTTGTCAAGAACAAACTCTCCGTTTCATTGAGAAAACTTAGGAAAATCATAAAAGAGAAAAGTAAAAAAAACAAAATTCTAAAATCCCAACAAAAATAAAAAGAAACGCATACCTGAATTAGTCTTCTCGAAATAAACTTGAAAATAGATTTGTTGAAAAATAACAATTTATAAAATGAAAAACAAATCAAGTGATGGAGATGGAGAAAAATGAAATGAGAAACAAATCAAGTGATGGAGATGGAGAAAAATGAAATGAAAAACAAATCAAGTGATGGAGATGGAGAAAAAGAGATTGAATGATGAACAATTTATGAAGAAGAATTAGGGAAAATGAAAAGATTGTGTTAAATGCAAACATAAATGAATAATCAATGTTTATAGAAATTAGAATGTGAAATTAAAAAAAAATTAAAAAAGGATGAATGAAAAAAAAAAGATAAATAAGTTTCCAACCTTTAGGAGAAGTCAAGTCATCAACCTTGGTTTCTCCTTTAATATAGATATATAGATATAGATTGTATATACATTTTTCTAGTATATCTACATATTTTGGTGTATATATATTCCCCCTTGGGGCTTACGCCTCGAGGATCGATTCCGCCTTTTAGAACCTTGCTTCAGCAATAGGATGCAGAGCCATACAGAGCATGAACACTTCCTATTGGTCATGAGACCAACATCCTCCAGCCATCAGAATCAGGTCTAGTGTATGGGAGTAGGGTGAGGTCCAGCTACAGTAGCTAATTAGTCAGTTCCAGATTGGTCATTAATCACAGGCCTTAAGCCTGTTAGACCATGAAGGATATGCTCTGCTGCTAGGTAGAGCACATCGTAACTGACTAAAATATATTCGTAAAATTCATAAGCAATCCACAGATATCTGCATTTATTTATTAGCAAAACTTGTTAATCCCTCTGTTCTAACTTCTAAACAGAAAAACCATACTCTCCTGTTTGGACGACTTGCACATTCCTATCTTTCGACAAAAAGTACCACAAGTTTTCCTTTACCCTTAATCAAGGTTTTAAATGGTGTGGCGGTGAGGTCAAGGCCTTAAGCCTTAGGAGCCATGGCGAGGCCAGAACGTTGTTCATGCCTTCATGGTGTGACTTATGGCGGAAAATCTGTATAGCATATATATAATTATATATATACACACATGTTTTCTACTATTATTCAATGAGCCAATGATCATGGACGACTTAAATTAGAAAAAACAGGAAGAAGGTAAAAGAAAAATCACAAAATGCGTTACAAAAACCGTGCATTGGGTTATGATGTGCCACAGGAATCACATGTCCAAGATGAGCCATGAGCCACGGCACCCCATGGCACTGCCCTTAATTGAACAATGATCAAATCACTTACTTACAGATGTTATCCAATTATAATAACGGTTAATATGATTAATAGGAGAAAATCCTTACACTTATAGTTTTATAAATGTATCTAGTTCTTCAACGAAGGAGAGAGTATAAATAAACCTTTTAACTCGTTACGTTAGGAGAAACACATATGAATAGATGAATCTATGAAAGATGGTATGTAATCGGATATACCTTGCATGGAATCGGACACGAATTCCTGTATGAACTCTCAACACCATTTTCATTGCTTTTTCCCAGATCAACCTTCACACGAACACCGCATAATCAAAGAAAAGACACAACAATTTGCAAAAAAAAACAAATTCCTTTCAACAGAGACATCAATAAAGGGAGGCAAAGTGGATACCGAATTTTCCGACAAAACAGGGTGATTGAAAATGCACGTCGTGCCGAACTTGCAAGTCCCAGTTCGAAGGAAAAAAGAGCAATCTTTGGCGTTAGGTCGAATCGGGTGCAAAAGGTTACTGTTTCTAAAACCATCATCATCACCATCCAACAGAACAACCTTGGATTCATCTGAATAAGTATCGCTCTGGTTCGATTTGAGCACTGTATCCACCTCTGGTATTTGAGAAAAGAGACATTTCAAATCCAAAAAGAACTTCTTCTTGATGCCGTCGTCTCCGGAAGTTGCCATCAAGAGAAACCCTAATCGATTGCAGAATGAGCGAATCGAGTATCGAGGGTTACAACTTACAAGGGTGAAGAAGAAAGAAAGAGGGACCGATTGGGCGGGGGGGATATAAAAAGTCAAACCTTTTTGATTTTATTTGACTGGGGAAGAAAGGACAAAGACTAACATTAATTAAATATTTTGAGTATGTTATAAAATTAGTCCATGATTTTTGTGGAAACTCTGATTTTAGTCCCTGGATTTTTAAAATTACAAGAATTGTTTTTGTCCCTAGCCATAACGGCCACTATGATCATCCGTTAAAAGTTCACACGTGATTTATAAATTAATTCTCTTTGTTTTCTTATAAATTAATAAAATTACTCCTTTCCTGTTAGTTTTTTTGTATAAGTTTTAATGAGTAAAGCATCTAGAAAACAAAGTAGAAAAACTACCATCAAACACTAGAATATCCCTGTCCATTTCAGATTTACGGTCATCAACAATTTCAGTTTAAGCGTCAGTTATGGTTCGAAGATTTACTGAGAAACATGAGGCTAGTGAGTTTTTTAACGCATGTTTCTTCTGTCGACAATGATTCAAAAAATGTGATCCATGAAGTTGAGGATAGAAATATTAAAGTGAAGGAAAAGGATTATTCAATTTTGAAATTGGTTATTTGGTGAGGAAATGATGGTGCGGGTTTTCAGGATAGCTTATGCATACCGACTAATTCCCCAGACGACCACAAACACTCTAGAATCATCGCATATGATATGAATCTCTATGGTATAGCTTGGATTTTGTATGAAAAGGGAAGAAGATGAATCCTTCTAAATGAAGGTGCATATGCGGTTTTAATCTTTTGAGTTTTGCAAATGAAGAAATATGAAGATGAGTGGCAGTGAGGGGTCGATGATTGAGGTTTTTTTAGAATGCAATGGCTTTTACGCTTTGCTTTATCAATTCATACATCATGTCTTACAGAAAAACATAGAAAATAACTGAAATGCCTCTTACATTACAGTCCTCGTAATTTCCAGTAATGAAATGCAAATCACAATGACAATCCTCGTAATTTCCAAAAGTTCTGGATGAAAATCAGAGCTTCCACAAACCACAAAAACGATCTATGTAATTTGCTAAGATATTTTTAATAAAAATAATTATTTTAATATAGAAAAAATTTTAATTCAAAACTTTTATGGAAATAACATTAATATCAATACATTTAATGAAAAATATTACGATTTTAATTATAACCATAAAGCAGGCCTTTTTCTTCTTCCCTTTTTACAAAATGTAGGTCTTGGATCATAACCACCATCTTCTATTTTCCACCAGCATTTGATAACCTATGTAAAATAAAATGCCATGTCATAATCATGTCATTTTATGTGCTGTCAATATAGCATACCAAGAAGACACTGATGGTTCTAAATGGCGTGAACTGTGACGTGATTGTAAGGTCAAGCCTTAAAAGCCACGACGAAGTCATAATGTTTTTCAAGACCGACCTAGTAAATCACACACTACTATACGTATACATGTACAATAAATGATGGTTTAAATAAGAAGGCTAAGCAGTAACCAATGGGAATGAAAATAAAGGAAATTGTTTGGTTTTATATAATATAACAAGTCCATTCCCCATAAGCCCATATTTTCTTTCCAAGTTAAACCGGAGACAATCATTCCCTTTTTCATTTCGCAGCCGGAACCAAACAGCCCCTAAATATAGTAAGAAGTTAAGAAGAAAAGGTCTATATATATGAATCATTGAAAAAAAAAATCCTAATTGAAGATGCATATCAACACATGTGAACCGACGTTACAAATTTACTCATATGGGTTCACATATACATCTTTTTCAAATGGATTTTTTTCAATGATTCGCGTATGAACAATTCTTTCTTACTTTCTCACGATCTTTAGCTTTTTATTTGAATCCGATATGTACAATATATATATACATACATGTATGTGTATTATTAGTCAATAATATTGATCAGTCAATTTTTAATAAAGAATAAGCCTTGGTGGTGGCGCGCCTTAAAAAACACTATGAGGGTTAACCGGATGTGGGAGATATGCTTTGACGCCACTGAGCACCTTTTAGAACATTGCTAATTGATTAGATTGTGATGTTATGTAATGTGATCTAATCCAAACCTGGCCCGTTAACATGCCTAAACCAAACCAAAGGGGCCCAATAAATCTAACTCAAAAGTTGGCTTTGGAAGTATAAGATGTAGGCTCTATCCCAAAGAAACAGTAGAGCGACTGTTAAGGAGAAAACAGTGTTTGATCAAACATGTCAAGTTCTTGACAACAATCTTTCCTGCTGGTTTAGACAAAATATTGTATAAAGCGTGTGGAAAAATCACCTTATTTTTTGGCAGGAGGGTCGCGGCTAAGACCATGTTTCCTCAACATGTTGATGTAGCTTCTCATGAGGGTGAATTTGTTGCTTCCTAGATGATAGAAATAGTCCCATGTATAGATCCCAGTTTTATGCAAGTCGTCAAAAAGTAACCTAAAATGGCAAATCAGAAAAGAAATTACTCCATTAGAATCAGTAGAAGGAAGTGACGTTTTCAGCAAACAATCATTGTACCGCTAGTAAGTACCTTACCCCGTAGTTGCCTACGGGTTCTGCAGACATGATCCCTACATGACGGCGTCCATAAATCACCTGGTTTGGTTTCACACTGGTATCAGAACATGGTTCAGGTAGATTCCAGATCAACACTGCATTTGGTACTAGGAATGGACTGAAGAGAGTGAGGTAGGCAGATGAAAGATTTATGGAAGGTTTTAATTTGACATGAGTATTTTAGTAATTCACCTATCTTGTCTCATCTCACCCAATGTGTCGTGTCTCAGTCTAATTGTTATGTCAAACGTGGGAAACAAGTTTTTCTTCTTCTATTTCTCATCCAAATCAACAATTTTGGTCCATTTAGGCTAGATGAATCACACTGGTATCAGAACATGGTTCAGGTAGATTCCAAATCAACACTGCATTTGGTACTAGGAATGGACTGAAGAGGGTGTAGGCAGATGAAAGAATCATGGAAGGTTTTAATTTGACAGGAGTATTTTAGTAATTCACCCATCTTGTCTCATCTCACCCAATGAGTCGTGTCTCAGTCTAATTGTTATGTCAAACGTGGGAAACAAGTTTTTCTTCTTCTATGTCTCATCCAAATCAACAATGTTGTCCATTAGGCTAGATGAAGGTGAGGTAGGCCGGTGAAAGAATTGTGGACGGTTTTAATTTGACATGGTAGTTTAGTAATTTACCTATCTTGTCTCATCGCAAGACTAGAAAGTCGGCACATCATGAACAATGCTAAGCTAGAAAACTATCAAAATCAGAAGTACCTTTTCACCACCAATTGATCTGATCTTACTATCAACAGAAGGGCTGAACACCCTTAAAAATTCAGCAGGCAAGTTGTACCTACTTCCGTCTGTAAATTCGGCAACAACCTAACTCGAACATCACAAATAATTTTCAAATGAATAAAACATCTTGACTATGTATTGAAACCATATAAATATTTTAAGTATTCTTCAAAAACCTGAAAACATAAATCAAAGAGAACACAATTACATTCTTTGGAGCCTGAAGAGCAAATTTGATCAATCGAGGACAGTCTCCGGCCGCCAAGCTTATGCATCGTTTCGCTCTCCATACCGCAGACATTTTAAGGGGGCGTGCCTATGAAGTGGGTGCAGAGCCAGGATTCTCGATGAGGATGGTCCTCTTGAAAACCTATGTTGAAACATGTCTCATCTAACGGAAATTTAATGATATTTACAATATAAAAAAACCCTGCAATAGATCTTTAGTTTGAAAGTGTTTCAACATATCACTTGTTAAAGGTAGACGGCTAGATCATTGGCAGAGGAGGTAAATCAGAGAATGCATCCCCTTGGCAGAGGAGCGTTGCCCAGGCTCGAACCCTGGGACCTAAATCATATGGATTACACCCACACAGCCACACCTCTACCGCTGGGACAGATCATTGGGGACTAACATGGGTGCTCAAAATCAAATGACCATTGGAAGATGAAAATCATGAGGAGAACAGAATACAAATGATGAAAATCAACTCATTTGATTCCAATTTCATCTCAAGTTGTTGAATGTGTATCATGACTGACATGAAATGGAAGGATTAGAGCCAAAGGAAACAGTGAAGCTTGAACATCACAAATGATGGATTTTAATCATATTATCTTAATACCTGTTAACATATCAATTCTTCACCAACTCATAAAAGACCATTATGAAGCAGAGAAATATATCTTCCGGATTAAACACTGAATTGAAAAAATAATGTTTAGGAGTTCTATTTGATACAAGATCTCATACACAACCTCCATAAAGGTATACCTTATATCCTACAATGAAAAGATGCGTAAACTCTAAATTAGAGATATACAAGTGATATATGACCGATTTCTTACAGATCAATTGAAGCGGAGGCGGCCGCTGAAGCTGAGGGCCTGACCAACTGACCGATGAAGTAGTAATTCGCGTGAGGCGGCGGGGATTGAGGGCGTGACCGAGTGACCGGAGTTAGGCAGCAGAGCAGGGGCGGGGGCGGGGGCGGTGGCGGTGGCGGTGGCGTGCGGACTTCTGGACTGAGTCCGCGATTTCGTTTTCTTCGTGAGAGTAGAGTGCGCCAGTACAAACTTGAGGAAGTTACATTGATTTTGGAAGAAATTACATTTTGGTCCCTATAGTTTGTTAGAAATTACAAATATAAGCAAACATGCAAATTCTTACGGGTTTGGTCCCTCGACAAACTTGAGGGTGGGTAATGGGTTTAAGCTCGCCCCGAAACAAGGTTGGGTTGGCTCTACGTCTACGGGTGGTCAGACAAACAATCAAACTGTTTAAACCGATTAGTCCAAGTTATATTGGAAAGTTTTTGGCAATTTGAAGGGTATGGTAATCTAGTCTAGTCTAGTCTTAAAAGTAGTTAAATCGTTCGGTTCAGTCCGGTCTACGGTTTGGACCTTTTCTTGAACGATTTAGACCAAATTGACTGTCAAAATACACGTGTATTAACTATATTAGGTTCCGTGTTGTAGGGTTAGCAACATACAGCTTATTCGATCAGTTAAACATGATTAACTTAACGATACAAAAAGTGGTGATTATTAAGGAGGAGCCAAAAAAATTACAAATATGCCTCTTTAATGAAACAACCCTACTAAATAATAATTTATCAATTTATACAGACAGATTAGACAAAAACTTACTGAAAAAACAACCACTACCACAATTATCAATTAGTTTTCTTGAATAAATGACCTAATACAACATATATATAAATTGGACAAAAAGAAAATGATTTTTACATCTACTTGTTCCCCAAAACGAGAAATGTGTCCTCTTGTTGCTTGAAACAGTCCCACAACAACAACGAATCTACACCATCAACCCACTCTTGTAACGAATAATCTCCTTCGATGGAAAAATTAGGGTTGATTGAAACGGAATCCTCATAAGAAAGCGAATAGGTATCGCTTTTCGAAATCGACGTTGACTTTTCTTGGTTCGTGTTCGTCCATGAATCCATGTCGAAGTTCCCCCACATCATGGTGTGATGATTTTGGGAGTTTGTGTCGTTTTCGAATCGGTGTTCATTTGTCTTTTTGATATCCACTTGGGTATTTCCGTTGGTCATTGTTGCCTCATAAATGATGTTATATTGATCATTCTCGGTTGCCGAATCTTGTTTTTTCTCTTCGTCGATATGTTTGTGAGTTTTCGGGTCTACCCCGAGAAGCTTAAGTTTTTTCTTGATTCGAGTATTCCAGTGATTCTTGATTTCGTTATCGGTACGCCCAGGGAAATGTGAAGCTATCTTAGACCACCTAAAATACATTAAAAGTATTAAAATATCTCATATATGTGTTAGTTTAATACTTTAATATATGATTATACATACATACATACACGCATATATATATATACACACACACAGAGTGATTCATACGAGAATAGTAGTAACCAAATAAGATAATATAAAAACGCGGTCGTATCATATGTGATTTTACACTAAAATCACGTGTAAAATCCATTAGTGTTAAATCATATATGATTTTACACGCGATATAACTGGTTTCACGATATTTTATTTAGAAACTGTTATTGTTTGACACCTCTCTACATACCTATTACCAAGACGAGCGTGAAGTTCAATTATCTGATCCTCTTCGGCTTCTGATAGTGTCCCTCTTTTCAGATCCGGCCTTAAATAATTAATCCATCTTAATCTACAACTCTTACCGCATCTTAGCAAACCTTCATGAAAACACACAATTCGAAATGTTAGCATCCAAAATCCATGCGGCAAGACCGCTCTTAACCACGCTACTTTATTTTCCTTTTTTACATAGAAACGTTAACGGTTTATCTTCAACTCTGTACGAGAAAAGATGATATTTTTTCATCGAAAAACAAAGTATACATGACAAAGAAAATTAACGATATGACAGAAGAAAATACCTGCAAGCTTAGGAACCATTCGCCAACATTGTATGCCGTTGTTGACGATGAAACTCATGAGCTTTCGATCTTCTTCCATCGTCCACGGACCTCTCTTTAATCCAGCTCGATCACAACACGGTTGTCTCCCCATTTTTCCCACAATCGATGGATCAATTTCCCAGAAACCAACTTATTTATGTTAAAATTCTTGATGCTGTTCTTGTCGATCGAATTGATTGAACCCACAAACACCAAAGGAACCCTTTATATATATATATATATATATATATATATATATGCGCGAATTGAAGCAAAGATTCCTTCCAACAGATAATTTGTGAATATTAAAAACCCAGTTTGTTTGAAAAGGGGTTTTGATGATGATTAATGATCAATAAACCCCTAGAAATGGTCACCCACTCTTTACTTGTTTAATATTCGACGTGGGTTTTTTGTGTTGACAAATTACGACACCCTTTTTGCATTCCATTAAATATTTTGGATTTGTGGATTTGGAAATCATGGGGATTTATTATAATGATGAATGAGATTAGGGTTGATGGGGATTCTCTTGGCCCCTATCAAGAGCTGGCCACTTTTGTCTTTGAAGGGAACTTGTTCATATACTTTAGATGCCATTTTCACTTCCCCAATTAATTAAAAACTTGTGTTTAATTTATTAGGGTTTTTCCGACTTCATTCGGGTATGAACCGTGGTTTTAGGTCAAAGATGTCGTAGTCTGAAGCTGAAAAAGTTGGTTTTTAAGTGGCAGAAACCGTTCGGATTTTGGTTTATTGTTATAACTGATGTGATGAACTTTACATATGACGTTATGCGTTGAACAATTGTGTATATATAGAGAGATTGAGACGTATAATCATTTTAAAAGATTGATAAATCATATAAATTTACAAAGTAGGTATTATATATATATATATGTGTGTGTGTGTGTGTGAAAATACAATATTCATATAGTGTTGTTTCATACACGTGAAATGTTTATGCTTGTTTTGTGTATGGAAAAACAGTTTTGAACTATATATATATGAAACAATATTGTATAAACACTGTATTTTCATACATGTTCATGAAAATTGGTTTATAAATTTGTATAAATTATTGGGTTTATATAAGAAATTAATAGACTCTCTCTCTCTCACTCAATATATATATATATATATAGAGAGAGAGAGAGAGAGAGAGAAAAAGAAAGAAAGAAAAAGAGGAGAGGAAGTAGAGAGGCATGAAAGGAAGCATATAGATAAAACAAGTAGTAGTTATGTGATTTCATAAAATGAGGTTTGACATGTAGTGCATTCATATAATTCAACTTGACAACCCCCATACTTGGTCAAAATCATTAATTTTTTTAAATAGAAGTCGGTTCAAATTAATAAAAAGATTAGATATCATGAATATATTTGAAGATGTATTTGTAAACCGACATTACATATTATTCCCATACAAATGTTATATGGAATAAAATTTGAAGAGATAAAAAGACATGTTGACATCAACATCATGAGTCCATATCATCATATGTTTTTTGTTATGTCCTGAACCTGAATCAAAAGGTTTGAAAATTACATAACTAATATAAATATCATTTTCAATTTACGTTTATTTTATGTAAGATGTATTAAAATAGATTTAAAAAAATCATATTATTTTCTTCTGAAATTCCATAATATTACACGAATAATAATTAGTGGTAAAAATAAATAAAGGTTATATATTATTAAAATAATAATAATAAAAAGAATGAATGATTGGTGTTCATGTATCTAATAGGTTTGAAACTCGGAAGCAAAGTTAATTGAACAAGTTTGTTTGGTTGGTGAGGAGACGATGATTCCATAAATATAAATATTCTTTCAATCATTGATTATTATTTTTTTTAATTAAATAAAATGTATTTATTATATCATATCATAAAATAGTCTATTCTAATGAGAAAAATTAACACGAAAATAATGAGAAAAACGAGAAAACTCACCGAGAACTGATATATAATGACTGATAAAAAAGAAATTAAAACATTTTAAAATATTTACTAATTTAGATTTTGCCAAAAAAAAATATTTTATTAAATGTAGGAAATATTATAATTAAAATTGTAATTCTTAAGATGGAAAAGTTGTTGATATATAACCTTTTATAAATAAAATTAATTTCTTTTGAAAATACATTTACAAGTAGAGTAAATTACGTTTTTCGTCTCCATGGTTTGTTAAAAATTACAATTTGTGATATAGAAATTGTAATTCATTGTTATTTTTGTTCCGATAATTTGTTGTTATTTCGGTTTAAAATTCTTTACTATTTTGATGTATTGTATTTAAAGGTAGAAATTAGCTCACAAATTACAAATCATAGAAACGAAAATCCTAATTTTGAAACCATCAAAACTTATTAACCAGGTCCAGAAATAAAATCATAACTAACTCTTTTGTTTTTGGGTTAAATGCATGAAATAACAACCTACTTTTATAAAATTTCTTATTATAGCATTCTACTTTTGTTTTTCTTTATTACAGCAATGTACTTTCAAATTATTTTTTATTAAGGCATTGTACTTTTAAAAATCTACCCATAATAGCAATGGGTAACCTATTACCTTTTAAACCGGTTAACCCTTTGACTTTTTTGCTTGTGTGACTTTAATAAGGTGATGTGGATGCCACATCATTTTGATGACTTAACTAAAATTAAAATAAAAACCTATTTCAAATTATTATTAGTGATTTTCATTTTTCATTGCTATGATCTAAAAAAACATTTAATTTTTTTTATTTTTTCTTATTAAGTTGCATTCAAATTAAATATTCTTAGAGTAAAATATTTATTAAATAAATATGAAACATTATTTTCGAGATATATTTTGTTTGTTAAAAATGTAACTTTTTCTATTTTATGTTGTTCAAATAAATACATATATTTTAAAGTTCTCTTTAAAATATTAACAAAATAAATTGTTATCTACAATTTTTTAATATTGTTATATTAATAAATAATTCAAAAAAATCTAATTAATTTAATATATTTATACGTCAAATAAATTTTTTTTGAACAAATATAATATATTCTTTAAAAGATAATATTTTTTGGTAAAAAAAGAAACAATTTTTATTTTTCTTTTTTCAAAAAACACATATTTTTTTTAAAAATGTTAGCGAGATAAGTTGTGTTATACTAGTTTTATTGATATTGGTATATTAATGAATAATTTAGAATTTATCTAATTCATTTAATACATTTATTAAATAACATGTAAAATATCTAAATATTAAAATTAAAAATACAGTGTTTAATAAGAACTAGTAAATGATATAATAAAATAATTTTAAAAGTACAATGATGTAGTAAGAAAATCACACCACTATAGTACATGTGGACAGCCTACATGGACAATGAGGTGGCATGGAAACCTAGTATAATGGGTAAGTTTAAATCAAAAGGTTACCCAATGCTATAATGGGTAAATTTTTCAAAGTACAATGTCCTAATAAAAAATAGTTTGAAAGTACATTGTTGTAATAAGAAAAACTGAAAGTACAATTCTATAATAAAGAAATTTATGAAAGTAGATTGCTATTTTGTGCATTTTGCCCTTTGTTTTTCTTATACATGGGCTTCGGAAACTAGCCCAGACCAGATATATATAAAAAGGCCCAAATAATTGATTGCCTGTTGTAGATGAAGGTTCACCATTAGAGCCTTACACATCTGCTACACAGAATACCAACTCTAAAAAGTAGCCGTTAGAATCCCCTAAAATGGGGAAGAAGGGAATTCAAAATTCCAGCCGTTATGTTAAATCTCATCTTCTCTCTCTAACACATACGCACTAGAATCTTTCTCTGCTTCGAAGCAGCGCATCGGAGCTTGAGAAAATGGTGGGTGAAGAACCAAAACGGAGCACCCCAAAACAATCGGACAACGGAGAGAGAGAAAACTGTGCATTATTCAGCCCTGGGTTCAGATCGGTGGCAGCCATGGCTGGTTGGGATGAAGAAGCACTGTTAATGGCTTCTCTTGTCGTTGAAGATACGCCAGATCGTGATTCTAAACAGAAGAGGCGCTCAGATCCGCTTTTCAAAACTCCACCTACTAATTCAAGAAGGTTAGATTCCTAATTCGTTCACTGATTTTCTTCCATTCATTGCTTCCTTCTGAACAGACCTCCGTTAACTTCGGTTTTTTAAGTATCAATTCAGTTGTTATGATTGATATGTCTTGTGGTTCAGAAAACGCAGAGATCAGAGGAAGAGTCCTGTTTCAATTCCTGTGGCTGTTCTAGATCTTGGTGAAGAGGAAGTTTCTAGAGAAGGTTGGTCCATTTTTTTACCTCTTAGCCCTAATTTAATCATCGAAACCAGATTTGGTGAATTTTTAGATTGATCCCCAATTATGATGTAATGGATTAACAGAAATTTTAGAACAGAAGAAAGAACCGACGATTGATGTTGATGCCAATGTTAATCCAAAAAAGGACGAGAAATCAAATGAATCAAGCTCTTCAATTCCATGCATCGATCGACTTCGAGAAGAACTCTCTTGTGCAGTAAGTGTTCCAAGCGATTTCGTTTCGTTCTATATTCAATCAACAAATCGGTTTCCTATTTGCTTAACTGGTTGTTTTTTGACAGATTTGCTTAGAAATTTGCTTCGAACCAAGTACCACTTCTTGTGGACACAGGTACAAATTCATAAGTCATATCTTATCGATCAATAAAAAGATGCATAATTTATGTTAGGGTTTTGATTTTGATTTGGAAATGGTGTAGTTTCTGTAAGAAATGTCTGAAATCAGCTGCTGATCGATGCGGCAAGCGATGTCCAAAGTGCAGGCAGCTTATCAGGTTAGTGAGTTGTATAAGTTTCAATCCGAACTCTTTTCTATGATCAAGAAATTTGAAGTATTTCTAACGGAACTATTTGGTTTGTTTTATTCAGCAATGGAAGATCTTGCACCATTAATACTGTTCTATGGAACACAATACAGCTTCTGTTTCCACAAGAAATAGAGGCAAGAAAGACTGTGGCCGGAGGAGGTTCAAACACCAAAGAATACGGTGACGTCCAAAGCCCTCCGGCAAGGAGGAGGAACCAATACCGGAGTGTGATTGAAGCATTAAACAGTCCTGAAGGGGAACAGCTAAGTTTGGAAAGGCGGCGAAGGACTAGTAACCATAATTTGAGACAACAAAGTTTCCGTCCTGCTTCTGTAGTGTTATTGAACAGTAGAGAATCAGGAGATAATAGTGTGACGAGGAGGAGGAGGCGGAGGGAGGTGGAGGTGGTGGTGGTGCCACCACCAGCACCACTGAGTCAAGATGAGGATGCTGCTTTGGCTTTGAGATTGCAGCGGCAGGAGTTCATGGGAGCGTTTAGAGGGTCTGAAGAACAAGCGGAAGTGCATAGAAGAAGCTCGGTGACACGGGCTGCAGTGAATTTGAGGGCGATGGCATCTCGAGCAATCGATATCCGTAACCTTCGTGGTCGACGAACCTAGATGACATATAGTTGGTTTAATTTGGTCACAATTTCTGTGATAACTGTAATCAAGTATTGAGCATAATACTTAAAAGTATCATACCATGGGGTGTTAATTTGAACTACAAAGTACGGGAGATTTAGAGAGTCGACGGCTACTTCGATCCGTATTCTTTTCGTATCTTGTCTGTGAGATTAATGAAGTTTTGTTTGTTTTAAGGAACAAAATGCATCAAAAATAAAGGAAAGTTGTCATGTTTCGAAATTGTCCTGTTTAATGTAACATCTTTAATGATGTGGATGTGACGTTTCTCATCCATAAGTCATCAGTGAAAATGTTACAAGGTCAATAATTCTTTGACATGATTACTACTTATAACATCTTAAACAAGTATATTATTTTAAAAAATTTATAGAAAGAGTTGTGTAAAATAGATAAAGAAAAGGGAGATAGAATGAAAGAAATCTCTAAATATAAAGATTTGAGTTAAGCAAGCAGCAGCAGGTGCACTGAACCCACATTCTCTGAAGACTATGATGAGCCCCCAAAGAAGAAAACAGTTCAGAGCCCAATATGACGATTCACAGGGTTTACTTAATTTGCCCAACACCAAACCAGATGTTTTCCTCTGAATGGAACTATTAAGATTTACGAGGTTATAAAACAACCCTAAGAAACTTAAATACGAAACTTTCTTGAGTTGAAACATAAAGAGTAAACACAAGTGGACAGAGTCATTTGATATATATATATATATATATATAACCCATCATCAGAACAAATGTTACAATACTGTTACAAGGGATTGAAAATCTGCAGGATTTTTAGAGCACTGAGGATCTATCAACTCGACTATACTCAAGCAAATCGTCTTAATTCCATCATACAAAAGCACAACTAAACCACCACAGATCCTGAAGGAGGTCTTTTTGGTCATGCTCGATATACATATCTCCCAGATAGCAAAGCCAATTTGCGCCTCTATGTATATGTATATATCCCTTCCCTCAAAATTGCATTTGCTATATGATTTCAGTTTTGCTAATATGAGAACTCATGACCTCTAAGTGAGATGTATTTCTTGACCCAAATGGCAATGTCTTCTGCACAGGCATGTGCTTCAGGTGTCCTAAGAAGCATGTCAAGAGTTGCAAATTCATGAACACAGTCCTTGTAATCCAGAACCGGTGCATCAACGTTCACCTTTTTAAGCTCCTGGGCATAAGCAATTGCACGATCCCTCATCCAATCATGTTGTCCTACAACGGTCAATGTAGGGGGCATCCGTTTCAGAGGGGGGCCACCTCGGTTAGGAATCAGGGGATTGGCTGCAGGATGGTCCAGGTTGAACTCTTCCTCTGGGAGGAATAGTTTCCATGCAAGTATGCTCATAGATTTATCGAAGAAATAAGAATTTGATAGTTTTATCTCAGAATGTGTGGGAGTGTTTCCGATGAAGAAGGGATACATCAAAACCTGGGCCACTACCTTAAGTGGGTCCAGTAGTTTACCAGCTTCGACTGATTTGCGAGCCACGTAATCAGCAATGTTTGCACCACAACTCGCACCAAGAAGAACGCATCTGTTTCAGTGTCATCAAGTTTGGTTACACACAAAACATCTAAGTATTTAACAAACCAAATATACACTAGAAAAAAAAAACTTCCATATACACATGCATTCTTTTGCCATATCTTCTAAATACAATTGGAGGAAAGCAAGTAAATAGAACAATTTGATGTTTCTCGAGGGTGTGTTTGCTAGGCAGACAAGACTGGACAGGATAGATGAGAATAAGGTAGATGGGTGGAAAAAAGTGTGCAAGGTTTATGTTTTTAATTTGACGTGGGTACTTTAGTAATTTACTTGTCGAATTCTCCATGATTTTGTTTCACCTCAGTCCAGTCCTGTCCCAGTAAAAGTCGCACCAAAAAGTGGGATAAGTTTGGTTCTGTTCTGTCCTGTCCCGATTACCAAGCGCACCCCGAGGAACAATTATATGGAGTACGTTAAGTAAGTTGAAAATCTTCCAGTAATGTGAAGCATTTGGTTTTAAGCTAGCTTATGTGACTCTTTTAACTCTCCCAAGTTAGTAGCCTAATTCCGGCTCTTCATACTTCCACTCCTTAGAGCAAAAAGGATCAAATTTCTGTGAAAGGCAACCATGGTGCACCAGGCTCCTCAACTTTGTGAGGGCCGTGGAGGAAAGTCTTTGTATACAACCTTGTCCTTAACCTTGCATTTAACAAAGAGCCTGCTTCCACGAGTCAGATTCAAACCGAAGGGTGCCTCTTATAGGTGACCCCAAGGCTCACCCCTAATTCCCATGACAAATCCTGATACATTGTTCATCAAGAACTGAAATCCCTGTCAGCCATGCAAGAACTTCATTTAAAGGATTTAATGTTAAGTAGAAAAACAATCACACGATATCCTGCCCCTGGTTGTTACCATTAAATTTATATTTTTTTTATTTGGTATTTTAAATTTAGAATAATTGCTTGGAACCAATTTAAAATCATTGCTTATGGCTACTAAATTGATTAAACTTCCAACATCACCTTCAATGCGAGCTCATGCAATAAAGGAGATGAAAAATTACACCAATAAATTGTTTTTCATAAACTTCATACATATCTTAAGTTCACCAAGACTACGTGGCTTTGCAAGGATCAGGGAGGGACGTCTTTGTGCGCATTCTTGTTCTCGCAGTTAGCAAAGAGACTTCACAAATTAGTCAGGAGAATCCTATATGAATAATGCCTTGAATAGCCAACCGCAACTATGTGGAAGTCCATAAGCACCACATTGACTAAGGGCATGTTTACTGACACTTATCACCTCTTACCAGGTAAATAGTGCTAACCCGGTAAGAATAATGTTGTTTACTCACACCCTCTGACCCACAATGTTGCTGACTGAGATGTTTTCCCGATAAGGATCAAGAGCCTCACCTATTCGGTTAGCGCTTACACGATTTGTGTTGGTAAACCACCCCTAAATATGTAGGATGTGAGGTTTTTAGGTGTCCTATGGCTCTAATTGGCATAACCGACAGAGCATCAGAGAGCAATTGGGCTGAGGGTTGTACCATACACTAAACACAGTTAAAAATGCAAATCTCTAGCGTCAATATTATAACTCTGGTAATACTATGAAAGTCAAGGCACGAGATGTGCCAATAATTCCAATTGTACTATAATGAACACAGTGGTGGGTATTGAAATGATATCACCTTAGACACTCGTTAAGAAGTTCACCTTCTTGATTCTTACAACCACTGAGCTCTTGGGAGGGATCTGTTATGTGTGGTGTCCCATTGTCATACCATTTTTTGGCAAAAGAATAGAAACTTTATTGTATCTAAATGGGGTGTTTGCTTGGAGATAGATATGGATTATGGAGATACCATGAGGGTTGTTATGTTTTAGTCCTATTCAAGGAGGCTTTTCAGAGAACTTGCAGCCCTAGATTACGAGACTACTTCCAAAACTCAGAGCCATGTTTCTGACCTCGCTAGAAAGAGAATTAAATCAAGTCTCAATTGTGCTAAGCTTTTAATTCTCACAAATGGTAGTCGGTTCAGTGACAGCGTTTGTTATAATCAATGATAATTTCCTATACAATATTGTCCATGCGTTCTTCAGCATATTCATAACAAACTTTTCGCATTAATCCTTTGATTCTTATCTTTTTGGATCAGCAACCATCTACACTCCCTACAAATCCTACATTGATTTCTGCAGCCATTCAAGGCCCTCTTCAACATCATACAAAATTGATAGCTATTTCGGGTTACATGAGCAATGTGCAAATGTTAGTAAAATGAGGAAAATAAAGCATGGATTCTTATTTGATGACCTATAAGTGATAACTGAATAATCAACTATTAGCTAGGAGGTGATGGGTATTGGGAAGCTACCTAGATGGATCTCCATGTGCAGCTAGCCAAGGCTCCACCAAAGAAGCCCCAAAAGCATCTGCAATATGAACATCTGACTTTTTGGAATCAAGCGTTGTCCCTAAGGACTTGCTACATTCCGCCAAATTTGCCTGCTTAGCCAGCCAATGCAACACTTTCATCCCATCCTCAAAGGCAGTCGGATATCGATTCTCAGGCGCAAGCCTGTACCCAACAGCCACGACAATCACATCACACATTTTAGCAATCCTCCGACAAAAGAAGTCGTTAGCTACCGAATCACAGCTTCCTGCCACAAACCCTCCTCCATGAAACTGAACCATCAGAGGCAGTTTCCGGCATTTACGAGTGAACGGAGAATAGCCTCTGTAAACACCATTCTCTGATTTCACACCCATATCGTCCTTACTAAAACCATCACAATAACTACTCCTCCGATTGCTTGGAGCCGGTGCAACATTGGATGCTTCAGCGGAACCGTAACTATTACGCCGAGGAGTGCGATTACTGGAATTGCTAGGAAAGGATCTGGATTCAAGTTTGGATCTCTTGGCCGTAACCCTGTCAGCATCGGAATCTGGATAGACGAGACACGTGTCGGGGAGGAAGATACGGATGGAGAGACACGAAGAAGGATCTATGTGGATGTCTTTGGTAGCAACGCCGTCGGTAAATGAAGGATTTGCAGCGGCGATGGTCTCTTCAGGCCGAGATGTAACGCCAAAAGAAGCATTGTCATCGTGTAAATTATTAGGGTTCTGGATTCGATTCTGCAACCGTCGCTTCAATATCAGTTTGAAGAACACACTGTATAATTTCACAGCAACGCTTGGCATTTCTCTTCTTCTTCAACACACACACACACACACACTTGCTCTCTATCTCGATCCCTATTTGCTCCAACAAATCCTCTAGTTGATCCCCCTCTCTATGGGTTTTAAGATGAATTCAGCACAAATGAAACAATGTGAAGAGATTTATCACATCGAATTAAGATTTGTTTTAGATGTTTCGTGATGAATCCCCTCACCAATGGAATGCTTCTTCAATGGCGGATGTTCATGTAGAGGAGAGATAGAGAGAGGGCGAAATGATGGTGCCAGGGGCGCACACACACATTTGCGCTGTGTTCTATTTTGATTTGGCATTTTTTAGGAATTCTTTTTCTTTAGAGGAAATTGTAAATTTAGTCCCTGTGGTTATACAAACAAACATTACGGATTAGGTTCCTTAAATAAAAATTATTGTTATTATTATTATATATATATATATATATATTGTTATTGGTTAGTAGAAATTAATATGATAGTATTATTATACTTGTAATCATTTAATTTGAGGGACTTAATCTGTAAGTTTCTGACAAGCACAGGGACAAAATCTGTAATCTACTATTTCCTTCAAATTCAATTTGGCGAGTGAGATAGGGTAGTCATAGCCTACACCTACACCTACACCTACACCTACAGAATGTGATACTGATAAAATAGGCCGCAAGTCTTGGTTCACGCTTTACGTGTGTATGTGTGTGTTGAATTACCTTTATTTCAGATGGACTCCTCCCAACAATCATATTTATAGCATTTTTCAACCTTTACCATATATTTTATTTTAAATTTTTTAAAAAGAAATTTAACATACTTATTTTAATACAACTTTTATTACTTTTTCATGCATAAATTCAAACCAAAAATATCTTTAACTAATTAAAATTAAAACATTACAGGTCTAATAATTTTTTATTTTTGAAATGAAAGATTTGTTAAAATTAAATCATGGGCACCAAAAAAAGCCCTTTGGATCGGTAACATCACCAAGCCCTGTTGTTGACTATAAAAGCCCAGACGGCCCAAAACCAGATAGATGTCATGTCCCTCACGCTTACGCCAACGCCAAGCTATAGATAGATCATGTGACGCAATCGATAGACAGAGAGCCGAGGATTTTGGGTTTTGATTGGATCGCCGATGTTAGCGGATTCTCTTCCAGCTCTAAAGCGAAGAAGATTCGCCATTGCTGATCCTATGGAAGCTCAAGTTGCTACGGTACTATTCTTTTTCACTTTTACTTTGATTGGATTGGATTGTATTACGTCGGCGTTTTTGTGTTAATTGCGTCATTTTTTTATCATATGCTTTCACAAGTCTTAAATTACTTATACGGATGCGTTGTGTTGTTTATCCACTCGATCGAATATTGGAACTGCTCTACTTTTTCATTACCGATTTCAATTGAACATGATAGGATGTTTCTTAATGGGGATTTTGTGCTTGTCTTTACAAACGGGATGTACTGGTGATATTACTTCCATCACCAACGATGTTCCAGGGAGACTCAAACACACAAATGTAGTACCCCAAAAACAGAATAGTTTTTGCAACCACGAATCCATCGAATGTGCTGAATAGGTTTGTATTGTAAGCAAACACTGTAGGTAAACAACAATAATGCATCACCATAAAGCAAGCAAGAGACAGGAGAACCCTGAGATTTGTACCCAAAAAGGGGAAAAACTTTTCCTCGCCGTCTTAGGCATTACATTACACCAATCCAAATAAAACCAAACAAACCTGGAATATCTCGCTCTACCCCTAAAAAGTAGAGCGGCTGTTTCTGTGAGGACACCCGATTTGTGCAAATGTGTCAGTGAAATAGTGAAGACAAGGACATCTATATATATATATATATATAGAGGAGCGATCAAATGAAAACCACTTGTGAAATTTTTTCATGAAATTGTTAATCTTGTGAAATTGTTTCATATAATACTTTTTTTATGAAGTTGTTTCATATGTGGTTATGTACTACTTAATGAAATTTTAATGAAACTGTTTCATGTATTTCTCTAAAATTAAAATAATGAAGATGATAATATCCATGATTAACACCCTCCACAATAAAAATGGTTAATCAACTTCTCATAATTACAAAAAAAATAAACAAAATGAAAAATTATGATTGGTTGAATGAGGTTTTCACGGTGTTTACAAATTGAGTGGTTTTTATTTGAATCCACCCCAATATATATATATATATATATATATCAAGTAAGACAACACACACAAACCCTCCATCTAACCCAGGTCTCTGGTATCTGATACCCTAACTTGCAACTTTCTAAACCTCCCCCTGTCCTACCCTCGCCCTCCCTAACTCTCTACTTCCTATCTACACCGGCTACAAGTCCCTACCTTGAATCTACTACCCTTGTCTTGCTTCCCACGAACTCAATGAGATGTCATGTCCTTGGAAATGTCTAAAGTTGTCATGTCCAACCTCAATTGCTTAATTGTTTTATGTCTTGTGTAATTGGTAAAAATTTGCTATTTGAAAACACAACTGATGTTACTTCATAAAAAAGATGTTTGTTTGAAACACGATCTAGCTCTTCTCCCAGGGGGAATTCATATGTAGTTTTGAGCTGCTAAAATTTTTATATACAATCAATTGAAGACAAAAAGAAGAATAAACTAATAAAGAAGTGGGAAATGGGAACAAACCAGTGCTAAAGGTTTTATCTATCATATGTTGGATTTACTCTTCTTTGATTTTGGAAAGCCTGACGTTTTGCACTGATGACACCATTTGTTGATAATTCTGGCAATTCAGGAAAAGCTTGCTGCTGCAAAGCAAAATTATGGGAGAGAAATCCATGTATTTGAGACAACAACTGCAACAATATCTCGAACATCAAATGATGCCTCAGACGGTGGTAGGAACTTCACTTGTCCTGTAACTAAGAAGTAATCAAGTGTGTGCATAGTTCATTATGTGATTTAATGTGAAAGTGTAATTTGTTATTTGGACAGAGGAACCAGATGACCAACTGGAATTCACCACAGAAGATTATTATCGCGTCTTGTCTACCAAAAAGGAAGGTGAGGATATGTATATAATTGTTCTATTGGGAGGGTTTATTTTATTCCATCCATGGATTTCTGTCTTCTTCTTTAGTCTTTTTGTGGGTTGGGGCTTTGGGAATGTAAGGACTATGGAATGACCTTTTTTATGCCATGGTAAAATTAATTTTCAGTGGGAATGTGGGATAATTTATTAGTTCACTGGAATACATTAGATGATCTAAATGTTGCAGGGAGTAGAGCATGTAAGTGCGTATGTGTGTGTGTGTGTGTATATATATATATATAAAGGTAGGTTCGTATGAGAATGGTACATATTTAAGAAAATAAGAGAATGGCCAAATTACATACAAAATCACATGTACATTAACGGGAAAAAAAGGGGGCACATGCGACTTCTCTGGCAACCTGAGGTCGCAGGGAAAGTCGCGGGAATCACATGATTTTATTTGTGATGTTAGTGTAAAATCACACATGATTCGGCCATTCTCTTATTTTCCTAAATAGGTACCATTCTGGTATGAACCTGCCTCTCTCTCTCTCTATATATATGTATATATTACAGTGCTAAAACTTTGGTAACCCGCAATTTATCCGGGCACTGCTTGTCATGTCCTAATAAGTTGTGGGTCTTATGGAAACAACCTATCTACCCGACCCTACCTCTGCATGGCATTTATCAGGTTTGTTTGGTTTGTTTTGTTCATCCGTGGCTCTTTGATATCAGAAGGTTAAGTATTTATAATACAAACATAGAATGTTCTTTCTCCCTCCACTCTCAAAACAAGTCTCAATATTGCTAAAAGGATTACTTGTCTGGATGATTCCATGTTTCAAGGCACTCAAATTAACCTTTTTTTTAGGAAGGATGGCATGATTTTGTTAGAGATAATAAATTGATAATAAATCAAATGGGAAGATTATAAACGTGTTGTTGGAAGTCTGAATATGGGAACTTGGTCTTATTCCAAAACAGACGAAATAATATCACAATGCATCTTTTTGTAAAAGTAATCATTGATGTTGTAAAGTTTGTTGTCATTATGTAAATCATTATATGTAATCTTGAGCAGATAAATATTTGAAAACCAAGAAAATTCGAGACGCAGAAGCAGCAGCAAGTAGATCAAGGATTACCAAGGTAAATGTTTGACTTGATCTGGGGAGCAACTTTTATCTCATGGAATTTTAGGCTTCAGATTATCGATTTTTGGTATGGTTGACTGCTGTAGCTTGTATTTTTCATAACTCCATTTATTTATACAGGCTGTGGTTCGTGTAAGGTTCCCAGATAACCACACATTGGAAGCCACATTCCATCCATCAGAGACGATGCAAAGCTTAGTTGATCTTCTTGTGAAAGTTATGGCTCGACCAGACCTCCCTTTCTATATATGTGAGCACACAATAGCTAAATACAGTTATACTAGCATAACCAATGAAGCTATCCTCAAATCTGAGAAGTATACATTATATAAAAGAGTAAATACTTTTTTTTGGCAGAAAGGGACGGAACCACCCTCAAAAGAGTATTTACTTGACGAGCCATCTCACATCACCTTTGCTAGATGAAGCTTTTTAATTTTTTTTTCCTTTGAACATCATATAATCTGGATGTAGAAGATTAGATGTTAATGGTGAATACAAAAGAATATTTATGGGTCTTCTTGGCAAATTTTCTAGATACTGTTCCTCCCAAGAAGCAAATAAAGGACATGTCTCAGGACTTCTATTCTGCTGGTTTCGCTCCTGGTGCGATCGTCTATTTTTCGTATGATCTACCACAAGGTTGGTTATTGTTGCACTCATTTACGGATAGTATCTTGTCATTTTATAATCAATCTTATCATGTTTCTTTGCCTAGGCTTTACAACTGTCGGGTTTTCTGTGGGTAGAGGCGGATCTAGAAAGAATTTCAAGCGGGGTCACAAAATAGTTGGCATAGTATAGAATAAATCAATAATTATTTATAAAAAATACGGTTTCATTAAAAATGATAAAAAGTGGGTTTTTGCAATGTACAAGTGGTTTTTTGATTTTTTTCCCTTATGATGTTATTACCAAAAAGTTAAAGGAGAACCAAAAGGATTCGTACTAGCAACCTATAATGCCACTACCATTGACACTACCAGTAGGCAGTAGGATGCAGTCACTTTTTATAAACTTCAGGGAGCACACGTCAATTTAAAGCAGGTGCACATTTAAGACCCTTAAAAAATTTCAACTATGTCAGAGTTGAACGCAAGTTTTTTTTAGAGATTTTAACTATTGATTCTCTTAGTTTAAAGAAATTATGGAGAATATGATGGAGATGCTCTAACAGCCCTGCGATGGATGGAGGGTTGAGTGCTTTTGATCACTTTTTCCATGTTTCAATAGTCCTTTTTTTCTTTTCTGCTGCTTACTATTTATTAGTCTTTGGTTTTTCTTTCTTTTTCGCTCACATTTTTACACAAGTTGGGGCCTTTATGAAAACAACCGCTCTATATTTTGGGGCAGATGACATATCTGCGTACTTCCCACCCTTCTACTCTACCTTTTGGTGTTACTTTACTGAGGGGAGTTTTAAAATATTCGATAACCAATCCGAAAATTTCCATAATGGTGTGTTTTTGTATGTCCAGTTGATGATAATATTGGAGCAGCAGGGCCCTTTCTTAAAGAGGATGTCATGTCTTTAAAAGGTCTAGAACTCATACTTGAACAGAAACCCGAACCTGATCACTCTGCTCCTGAACCTTCGGTGGCTGCAGCCCCTGCGGCTCGAAAATCTGCTGCCGAGAAGAAGATGGTCAAGCCAAAGTGGTTGAAAATGTGACATCTTGGAGAGAGAAATACCGGTTAAAATTGTTTTTTTTTTTAATTCTCAGTTCTTGTTCATATTTGTTCAGAATGCTTTATGTACTTGGGGTATATGTTTGTATGTTTACTGTTTTCTAGTATTGGTTCTGCTCTTGGCTTTCTTTTATAACTTTTTGAAGCACGCGGTTCTTCACCAAAATCCTCTTGAAAACATTTTTCTAAAAGCTTGGGATCTTCGTGAAAAAAACCGAAAGGGGTTATTTACTAAATGCTTACCGGGTAAACGCTTATCAGTAAGAATTACCTTGTTGGTAAGATTCTCGTGAGCAAGGGGTTTACGGTTTGTGATCATCGGGTTTGGTTTATCGGCTCTCTTGTTGGTACCATTTAAGGGGACCAAAAGAGTTGAAACATAAGAGATAAGCCAACGGTTGCACCAACCACCCCAGCAGGGGGAGGGGGTGGGGTTGTTTAGAGTATTTGTAACATATTCTCTAAAATGGTGATTTTGGAGATTTTTGTTCTAATAAATTCCCCAAACTCTTGTCTAAAATGAAGAAAGTAGACTAGGAAATAGAGGGTGAAATTCTCTTTTACATTGGGCATTTTTAATTGGGGCTAACACCTACCTACCTTTACTACATAGAGTATAAAACTTACATGTTTTCTCATTACTCATCGTTACTAACCCTCACAACACAAAACCTAAACACACTCTTAAACATTGATAGCCATTTCCCCATAAAAAGTTACGAAAGTAGGTAGTGCATAAAAACATTATATACAATAGTCTAAGCTTTATTAGCACTCAAATATTAAAAAAATAAATGAATTGGGCCGGTTAACAAAGGATCCCAAATAATGAACCTCTTAATCATAAGGATTGAACCGCAAGAGTTGTGGCATGCGTAGTAATTGAGATTCTGAGGCATGCGTTGGAATATCTCATCTGTGTATGATTCGATTCTAGACGTACACAACAATTGTGGTAACTGAGTTTATCACAGCTGATTTCTTACGGTTACAATATACCGAGATTAGTCCGCTTAGCCTAGCCTTGGACACTCTTCCAAAAAAATCACAGCAAGTGTTTGAACAAAAGAATTATTAGAGGGATCTAAAAATGAATATTATTTAAACTTCAGGGTTTAAAAATGCTAATTTTCTAATTTCTTTGAAATAAGTTACTATTAGCTATATGTCATATGTCCAAAACAATATATACCGGCATACCGCACACAGGCGTCGTTTCCGGCAGCTGGAGGAAGAACGTTCGGCCATCACTTTATAGCTGTTGGTCGGAAAACAACACTAATTCCGATCAGAGTTCTAACAATTTCAATTCGTTAAACCTATCATCTAATCAACATTTAACAACGATAGCAGATATCAGGCAATGTCTCGCAAATTTACAGATTATCGATCCCAATTCTGATGATTATGTTAATCTTCATTTGAAACTTCGTGTTTAGGTATATTAATGATGCCGAGAAATAATGTTTTTAGATTTGAACTGTTTTGTTTGGATCTGTTGTTTTTTTTGGGTAAAATTTCAGTACATTTCTCTCCTACCACTTTGTACAGTTTAGAGTGCATGCCATTATATTGGGTCTATATAAGTGTTTATTGTTATTAACTGATGTTTGCAGAAGAAAAGGTATATTGTCTATGCTAACTGATAGTTTTAGTTTATCACTGTTTATGGTTTAATCTGATTGGTGAAATTGATTTGTGTTTTTTGATTGCTAAGTGATAAAAATTTCGTTGGAATTGTTGTTTGGATCTGTTTGAACATTTAGAACACACATATTACTTAACACCTCGTACGGTTTAGCTTGCATGCTCTTTCCTCGATTTGCTTTCGTTTTTATCCGTTTTTCTAATATTATGGTTTCATCATTGAGGAAGTAACAGTTGGGTATTGTTATGAAATATGAACAATGTTTCTTATATCTAGTTTGTTTGTTGTTTTTTTTTTGCAATCTGTTTACTGGAATAAGGTATAATCAAGCGTTATATAGGAATTGAGACTAGTTCATCTACCAAGATTAAGGATGGAGTCGAGTGATTCTAAACCAGAAACCGGGTGTCTTTCGATCATCGTGCTTGGGGCTTCTGGTGATCTTGCCAAGAAAAAGACTTTCCCTGCACTCTTTCATCTCCATCGTCAGGGATTTTTTGAATCACATGATGTGCATATTTTTGGCTACGCCAGGAGCAAAATGTCAGATGATGAAGTGAGGAACCGCCTTCGTGGGTTAGTTTTTCACTGTTGTTTCATTGTCTTTCGTGATACCTAGCAGATGTGTAGTAGTGCATATAATCCAATATAGGGTGGTCTGCATTTTGGTCAACTTATCTCAGATGACGTGTTTTTATCTTAATTCTGCTTTACTATGCTGTTGTAATTCATTCTAGTTTGTTTTTCATTTTCTATCCGTCATTGTGACTTCGGAGGTTAGATACATCGAATTTGACCTGGACCTTTTCTTAGTAATTCGATCAATTAATTAATTAGTGTTTTGAAACCAACGATGTTCACTTTTCAAGTCATTGGCTGCAGATACCTGACACCATGTCAAGGTTGTGAGATAATACGCGAGGAAGATGCATCAAAGTTTATGGGATTGGTAGGCATGGAACTTGCCTTCTTTTTGTTATGTTGTCAGTTTTAGGACTTTCGAGTAGCCACATGCCCTGTCTTGAATCGTGGATACTTGTGTAGATCAAATATGTGAGTGGACCTTATGATGCCGAGGAGGGATTTCTGTTGTTGGACAAGGAAATATCTGCCATAGAAGACAAAACAGAAAGATCATCCAGGAGACTCTTCTACTTTGCTCTTCCTCCATCTGTATATCCAACTGTCTGCAAAATGATAAAAAGTTGCTGTATGAGCAAATGTATGCATCCTACTCATATTCGGTAGCAGCAGTAGTTCATAGTTGATATCGTGAAGGTTAATTATAACTTTAGCACTTCCAGGATGCAATATGAGACCAATTACAGAGGATTGCAGTGCCACAAACACATTTTTTTAAAGATTTAGATGACATTCTAGAATACAGTGATAGATTGACTAAAAGTAACTATTCAAATGCCTCATTCCTTGCTATAAACTAATTCAATATGATAGTTTGTGTTTCTCTATGTGAAAGATCCATGGCAAGCTTGTAAACTCTCAAACTTATCTAATTTGTGACTGCCCATAGAGCTAGCAGTAATCCTGTGTGACTGAATGTCAAGACTTCAATTCCGAATAAAAGTCTCTCTGCAACATGCAAGGAATATATTATGTGCGAAGACTTTCCTCCCCACCTCTCGCAAAGCCGAGAAATCTTTTTTCCAAAAAAAAAAAGCCGAGAAACCTTCGTGTACTGCGGTGCCTTTTCCTTAATCTCGTGTTCTTGGGGATAATCTGGAAGAAAAATGTGAACTTCTGCAGAGTGTAATTGTAGGTCTTCATTTCTTAAACTTATGAAGGTCATCTTGTTATTTCTCCAGCTGATAAGGGTGGTTGGACTCGAATTGTCGTTGAGAAGCCTTTTGGCAGGGACCTGGATTCAGCTGAAGCACTGAGCACCCAGATAGGAGAGTTATTTGATGAATCACAGATATACCGTATCGATCATTATTTGGGGAAGGAGTTGGTGCAGAATTTGGTAATGAAAGCAATTGGAACTATCTAATGTTTCATTGTTAGCTTCTTAAATGTTACTCCACTAATTGTTTTGAAAATGCAGCTGGTACTTCGTTTTGCGAATCGCTTATTCATGCCACTGTGGAACCATGACAACATTTCAAATGTACAGGTGAGGACTCTACTTGAACTTTATTAGTTCAATATACTATCTATTTGACTATATATTACTCTTTGATCTGTGGCTATAATGCTTAATTGCTATGTTATCTGCTACTTCATGCATATGCTTATGCTAAAATCTTGGCATGTAACCCACTCTTATCTTTGTTCTTCTTTGGTGGTACCCTTGTATGAATCGTTATAATATTGTGTAGATACTCCTTCATTTGAAATTATTGTTGTCTTTTATCTCAGCACTTTATAGCACATCCATTATTTCTTGCTCAAAGTATGTTGAGTTTCACTTTTGAGGACTTCTTTCTGAACCAAATTGTGCAGTAGCTAAGGCCAACAAGGTGCACAAAGGCTCCTCTGCTTTGCAAATGTTGGCAGTATTATATTTGTAGGCAACCTGACTCCTGAGTTTTAGCAAAGAGAGGAAGTTTCCATGACTTTAAGCCATGACCTTCTGGTCATACAGGAATTACATTGCTTCATACTCCGAAGGCTGGCTATAAACTGTTTCAATTCCAGTTAAAGCTACTCCTTAGACAGTAAAAGAAAGCAGTTTTTCTGTTTCATTTAGAAATTATCATTTGAAAAGGCTGCATTTTTCCCTTGAAATCTGTTGACATCAGAAAGCAAGAATCAATAATAGAAGCCTAGCAACCCCATGGATGTAACCATTTTTACTAAACCACCTATAGTTGTTTCTTTTTTCTCGTTCATGCTACTAGATTTGTATTTGTGTGTTGGTGATTACTGATCCTAACACAAACTGAAGCGTAGCTACATACTGCAAAATGTACTTTGTTTTTTTGTTTTTCAAAGCCTGCCTCATCTGCGTTAAAGACCAAGTTAAAGAATCTGACGATGGTTTTTGATAAATTGTCGATAACCTAAACTTCAGATGCTTATTTCTCTTATCTTATCTTCTCCTTTCCTTTCCAGATTGTATTTAAAGAAAATTTTGGAACTGAAGGCCGTGGTGGATATTTCGACCAATATGGGTACTATCTGTTGTTGCCCAAGACTTTGATACGAAGAATCGGGGTTTTCTTTGTTTAATCATTTTGCCCCAGCCATTCGACAAACTGGATCGTGTTTATTGTGTCATAAAAGCTCTTCCTTTGCTCTTGATGATTACCCTTGCAGTTATTGATATTTTGTTGTTGTTTTGTTTGTCAGAATTATTAGGGACATTCTTCAGAATCATTTACTACAGGTAAGAGGAAAATAACTGATACCTAGTATGGCAAACCTAAATATTACTATTACGTCGAACTTTTGTTTGCATATTCACATTTATTCAACAATAAAACATGGTACTTCACCAAATGGTCATTGGTTCAGCAGTACTTGGTTTACCGGTAGAGCCCAACCTCCTAGGACTAGGAGGTCAAGGGTTCAAACTTCACCAAAAGTGAGGAGTGTGCGTGGGTATTTACTGTATATAAATATTCTATATTTCAAAAAATACGACACTTCACTATACTTGATGTTATGAACCTATCTATCTCTTGGTGAATTTAGAATTTTGGTCCGAGTGCAGGTGCTTTGCCTGGTTGCAATGGAGAAACCTGTTTCTTTAAAGCCTGAGCATATTCGAGATGAGAAAGTGAAGGTGTATGATTTAAATTTCTATTTAAGCATGTACTGATTCCTTTTCCTCAAACAATTCATGTCATCATTTAATTGTGGCTACTTCACAAGCCATTAAGCGTGCTTTTGGTACACGGGACAAGACATAACAAAACCTCATTGTCCTAGTCATACCAAACACCAAACAGACGACTAGTCAGTCTAGTTCGATCCAATCCAGTCCCATCTCACCATCTGCATCCCAAACACACCCTAACATCCTTGCATGTTGCCATCCTGCGGTCAGCTGTCTAACTCATGGTGACCCATGTGGTATTAGAAATTTTCACGGAATAAATTGGCCAATTAAAGAGGGAACAAAGTTTATGTGCCCTGATAAACTTACTTTGTGATATGGATTTCAGGTTCTCCAATCTGTTCTCCCAATCAATGATGAAGAAGTCGTAATTGGACAATATGAAGGCTATAAGGATGATCCCACAGTTCCAAAAGATTCAAACACTCCCACCTTTGCAACCATGGTTATAAGAATTCACAATGAAAGATGGGAAGGTCACTGAATTTTTCTATTTCTGCTGAAGGCAGTGAATTAATAAGTTCTACCAATAACTTTGCAGAAATTCATGTTTCAGGTGTTCCCTTTATACTGAAGGCAGGGAAGTCACTAAATTCAAAAAAGGCTGAAATCAGAGTACAATTTAAGGATGTTCCTGGCGATATATTCAAGTGTATGCTATTAGCGCTTCTATAATATCGAATTAATTTCTAAAATCCTTTCCCCATGTTTTTTCCGCTTGCATGTTAAATTCAACATATCTGGGTACGCTTAGGGAAAAGACTAAGGGGCTGTTAGGTTGGTTTTCCATTAAGTTTTATATGGATAAAGCTGTCTGTGTGGATTGATTTGTCAATATAAATTGAGAGGTTTTTGTTTGGGAGGGTTTTTCCGTATGTGGTGAGGAGTGTGTTTTGTAATTGAGAAGGGCTTGTTTGGAAAAAACTTGACTTTCTACATAAGGCTTCCCCGTAGAAGCTTACTGGATAAGTCACTTTCTATCTTATTAAGCTACTACCAACCAGTCATGTATAGCTCACCGAATAAGTGGTGAATCTCATTAAACTCATTAAGCTGCTAACGAACAGACCCTAAGGGGCTGTTTACTACCTGCTTACCCCAGGTAAGAGGCGCTTACCCGGCCAGAGATGCTGTTGTTTACCATGCCCCTCTTACTGGTCCATGATGCTAACTGAGATGCTAACCGGGTAAGCTAAGGGAGGGACTTTTACTCACCAATGATCCAGTGGTGACCAGCCAACACTGTTACCTGGTTAGCGCTTACCCGATTTGTGTTGGTAAACGGCCCCTAAATCAGTCTGTAGAATTTGATTTAAACAACGTACTACACAACTTTTCTTCTAGAGGCTGTTATTGTTACTTGAATGATTTCAGAAATAATTTTGTAGGATATTAACCAATAATTCTTTATCTCAGCTAAGAAGCTAGGGAGGAATGAGTTTGTCATTCGACTGCAACCTTATGAGGCCATTTACATGAAGCTAACAGTAAGCATATACTTCTTTTTGGTAGACCCGGGAAATAGCAGGAGTTTTTCGTTGCGTCTTTTTGGCATATAATCTAGAAAGGTAAATATGTGGTAATTGCTTCATGTGATCTCAAACGTAGGTGAAGGAACCTGGACTTGAGATGAAAACTGCTCTGAGTGAACTAGATTTGTCATATCGTCAGCGGTATCAAGATGTTGTCATTCCAGAAGCATACGAGCGCCTGATTCTTGACACGTAGGTACCCTTGCCCCCCGAATTCATCAAATTTCATTTGAGAAGTTAAAATTTTATTTGTGTTTATATTTTATTTATGATGTTATTGATGACAAATGTGGGTGTTTGGTTTGCAGAATACGGGGTGATCAACAGCATTTTGTTCGTAGAGACGAGTTGAAGGTATAACTAACTAACTAACCCACTACTGTGTGTGTATATATATATATATATATATATATATATAAGTGCTTGTTGTATGGGATGATGATGATGAATGAATAAATGATGATATCAGGCAGCTTGGGAGATCTTCACCCCATACCTGCACAAAATAGACAAAAAGGAAGTGCATTCAGTTCCATACAAGGCAGGGAGCAGAGGTCCAGTGGAAGCAGATAAGTTGGCTGAAAAGGTGGGATACGTTCAAACCCATGGCTACGTATGGATCCCACCAACATTGAAACCATCTTAATTGCCTTGCAGAGATCTAATAAGGGTTTAAGGTCATAAATAGTTTGATGTATGCATTCTGGTATTTGCTATTCCTTCTCATACCCAATTAAGTTGTTATCTTTTTAAATAAATAAAAAAAGCAGCAATTCATTTGATGATGAACGTCTCAAATCAAATCAAACCATATATATTATGTATTTGTAGTTATGATGAATAAATTTCAACTAATAAACCCTCTTTTGATAATTATAAACACCTTTTTGTTTTTTTTTTTATCATCAAAAATGTAATATTATACATATATGAAATCTACTCTCACTCACTCAATCATTAAAATTAAAATTAAAATTAAAATTATGTTATATGCTCCTAACAACTAAATTATGAAAAAGGTATACAAAAAGAAAGATCATGTATTTTGGTCATTATGATGTCACCACAATTTACATTTAAATAAAAAACTAAAAGAATTTGTTGGCTTATAATTCCGAATTTATTACATTAATAAATTTCTAAATATGGCAAGTATTGTATAGAATAGATAATGGATTCCTGAGATCAGGATCAAGGAGGAGTCAAAGCTCTTCCACTCCACGTCTCTGCTTCTTTATCCACCACTTTCCAATTAGGGTTCAATGTATCTCTCCTCTGACAAACCTCGTTCCATCGATTTCTACAAAGAAGCCACCGCCGATAGAGCCATGTTAATTGAACCTGAACACCCACCCCACCCCCACCCACAACAGCCACAGCAACAACTCATGATTATGGCGGACAACAACAATAACACCAGCAGCGGCGACGATCACGAACTCAGAGCTCCCAAGAAAAGAGCCGAGACTTGGGTCCAGGAAGAGACTCGGATCCTGATTGGTCTCCGTCGTGAAGTCGACAGGTTCTTCAACACTTCCAAGTCCAATAAACATCTCTGGGAGCAGATCTCCTCCAAAATGAGGGATAAGGGTTTTGATCGTTCACCCACTATGTGTACTGACAAATGGAGAAATTTGCTCAAGGAGTTCAAGAAGGTCAAGCATAAAAACGGTAAAGGAAGTGGCGGTGCTACTAAAATGTTGTATTATAAGGATCTCGAAGAGTTGATTAGAGATAGAGCCAAGAATGGAACTTACAAGGCTACCTCTCCTACTTCTTCCAAGCTCGATTCATTCATTCAATTCTCTGATAAAGGTCAACTCTCCCTTCATCCACCTCTCCTTTGTGAATTGTTTTCTATCCGATATCAATTTAGGACAATTTTGCAAGAGCTTAACACCATACCTCCAAAATTTCTTCTGCTCCATTTGTGTATATAATACTTCTTTTACTTGCCGGTTTTTGCTACATTGTTGAAGTTCGAGGCTTATTCTTGAATAGCAGTTGCATACTTGCAAATCTTACTTGTTAGTAGTTAGAGTGAATGACTGAAAATGTAGTTTCTTGGTTGCTTATTGCAGGGCTAGAGGATGGGAGTATTCCATTTGGACCCATGGAAGGTAAATTGCTGTTCAATTCATTTGATTATGAAATTATGATTTGGGTTTATGTCTGTTTCTTTGTTGACCTAAATTACTGTCTATGGGATTAGCTTACCTATACGAAATGATGCATTGAGGTCATGGTGCCTACATTGGGATCTCTTGTAGAACATTACCCTAATTTTAGCTTCTATATTTTTCTGCGTATGCTCAAGATTGGGGATGGGAATGGTATGTACATGAAGTTGCATATTTCATCATAGTGTAATCATTAAATTGCAGATGATGATTATGAACCTTTTTTTAGTTTAGTTTTGACCCAAATCATGGTTATGCTAATTAAAGTTGGATGCATAAAAGTGTGCATCTGTCTACAAATTGAAAGTGAGGTAAACCTATTTGAAATCATTCTATAAGGCTCTAGTATATGCTTGTTAACAGAAAAGAAAATCCCAAATAATTTCAGGCATGTAATGTGCCTCTATATTGGCAGTTGGTACGTGTGATGCTTTCTTCTTTCTCGTGACTTGGTTCTTGTAAACTGTACTGTTAGCTAATGGCCGATCAACAGTCAACCTTGAAAGGCCTTTGGATAATGACGGTGATCCTCTTGCCATCACTACAGCTGAAGCAGTTGCTGCAAATGGAGTCCCCCCATGGAACTGGAGAGAAACCCCTGGAAATGGTACCAAAACCTATTTTGTATCCAATACAGAAATAAATCCGCAAACAATCCATGAAATTAAGTTGTACTTCCTCCATCCCAAAACAAGAATAGAAATTTCCCACTTTCCAATTCTACCCTTAATTATGAGATGGGGAAATTCATTACTCCCTCTATTATTAAGTGTAAAATTGTCATTTAGTTTGTTAAAAAGCGTAATGATATGGACATTTATTTTGGGACGGAGGAGGTTGTACATGATATTGGTAAATAGGCTTAATTTTTAGCATGCTTTATGCAGGTGGTGAAGGTCAGTCTTCTTATGGGAGGATCATAACAGTGAAGTGGGGAGAATACACGAGAAGGATTGGTATTGATGGATCGACAAAAGCAATAAAGGAGGCAATAAAATCTGCATTTGGGATACGATCTAAACGTGCATTTTGGTTGGAAGACGAAGATGGGGTGATCCGGGCACTAGACAGAAGCATGCCTGTGGGGAGTTATAATCTCCATTTAGATGAAGGTAAAGAAATCTTGAAAGTAAGAAAATCTTTGAATGCTGCTATTTGTCCCTCAATATGTGTGTATTAAAATGCAGGAGTGTCTATAAAAATTTGCCATTATGATGAATCTGGACGTATAGCTGTGCGTACTGAAGACAAAACGTTCTACACGGAGGAGCATTTACACGAGTTTCTGTCTCAGCGTGGGTTGTCGGGGTTAAGAGAGATAAACGGGTATAGAAGTTCTAACAATGTGGACGATTTACGTCTTGGTGCGGTCTACCAAGAGGTGAGATTACTGGGAGACTAGAATTTAGATGACACTCAGCAAAGTGACCGAAGATGTTGTTATCATGTGTTAATATTGTGGTGGCAAATCAGCAGTAGTTGTTATACTCCATTGGATCTCTAAGAATGTTGTCATTTTGTGTTGTGCATATTGAGGAGAGACTCTTTAACCTATTTTTTTGTATATTTGAAAGCTTGATTAGCTATGATGATGATGTTAAAGGTGGAGTTGTGGAAGGGGAATTTTCTTTTTTCTCGAGTGGTGTTGGAATTTGGACATTTTCTTGATAAGAAGGTGCCGTGGACATCCTTGCAGAATGAACGAAAGATTTTAGGTTAGACTTTGGTCGTTACCCAGAGAGTGACCCTGTACCCCTTTTCTTCTGGTACGACTTTGATGTTGGGGCGAATCTGTAAAGGTCCCAGTAGGGTAGGGTCCTGTGCATTTGCTAAACTTTGAGAGGATGTTATGAGATATTTGATAATATAAGGGATATTAACTAAAAAAAATCAACCAAAATATCGAAAAAAAGTCATTTGAAATCAATTAAAAAACTTGAAAATCCTTCTAAATCAAGCAAAAAAAACTTAAGAATATATTTTTTGGCTCACTCAATAACTGAGGATAGTAGGAGTCTGAGATCGAACCATATTATATGCATCTTGTTAAAAAGAACTTGTAAATTAAAATCAAATTTAAAAATGTTAAAAAATAGTTATAAATAAGCAAATAATAGATGTAGAATAAGTTACGATTTTTCTTCCCGTGGTTTGTTAATAATTTTCATTTCCGTCTCTATGGTAAAGAAAATGCGATTTTCGGCTTACAATTTATTGTTATTTTCGTCCTTAGACTAATTCCTACATTTAGCTCGTTTTTTTAAGGGGACCAAAATAGTAAATAAGTGTAAACCATAAGAACCAAATCAACAATACATTGTAAATCATAAGGACAAAAATAGTAATGAATTGCAAACCATAAAAACGAAAAACACAATTTCTTAAACCATAGGTACAAAACTCATAATTCTTAACAAACCACAGGGTCGAAAAACATAATTTACTCTAATTTATGTCTTAAGCAATGCTTTAAATGACATGATATATTTATATCATATAAATTATTATAATATAATATTTTCTTCAATGATAATAAATAACAAATAAAACACTAAAGAAAAAGTAAAAGAAATCAAATATTGCGTTACAAAAAAATTGCATTAGATCGTGGCGTACCACAAGCTTAACGAAGCAAAAGATACAAGTCTTAAGCTATGACGCGCTACAGCCGGCTCCAGTTTTAAGCAAAAGAGTTTAAGTTGTGGGGGTGATGGAAGTGCGTTTCTACGTAGTTTTGTGCGTTTTATGTAATATCAACAAAACATAGAGGGTTTAAGTGAAAATTTTCATCTCCGGCGGCACGCTGCACGGACCAAAGTGAGTGGTCCACACTGAAACCACGACCGATCCGCCACATTGGCATCACCACCACCTCTTCTCCGCCATTCATGGTATGCCTGCATGTATATATAAACCCTAGTATCCATCCCGTAATCTCCACCCTTACTACATTGCCATCACCACCACCTCCACCTCTTCTTTCTCAATTCTCTATATTTCTCGGTTCAGTAATCATGGGCAAGGTCAAGATTGGAATCAATGGTTAGTTCGTTGTGTGATCCGTTGCCAATTTCGTAATTTTCGTTGCTGTTTGTTCGACGTTTACTTCGTTCTCCATGTTCCATTGAAATGCTTTTCTTTTGTTTTGTGCAGGATTCGGAAGAATTGGCCGATTGGTTGCGAGAGTTGCTCTACTGAGCGATGATATTGAACTCGTTGCCGTAAATGATCCTTTCATTACCACCGAGTACATGGTACTCCCTCAATTCTATCCCTAGAATTCGTGATTGTTTCAATATTTTCATGCGCTTCAATCCATCTCTGTTTGATTAATAGATCAATAATTATCATATATAACACGCTATGGATCATTGTTGTCCTTGCTACTGGTTCCGATCTGATTTGAGTTCTGGACTTGAATGATGTAGATATAATATCGTATGATATAGAATGCTCCATGGATGTCATTTGCTTACTTCTTTTATTAATCAACCAGTTTCTGCTGATAGACGCGGATTGTGAAGCTTGCAACTCCTAATATTCACTTCTTTTCTTGTTTTTTATTTCCAGACTTACATGTTTAAGTACGACAGTGTTCATGGCCAATGGAAAAAGGGTGAAATCAAGGTGAAGGATTCCAAGACTCTTCTCTTTGGCGATAAGCCTGTTACAGTTTTTGGCATGAAGTATGCTTCTCCATCTCTGCAATTCATCTAACATGAGAGTTGAAAGTTTTAGGAGGTTAATCTTCTTCGAATTGTTCTACAGAAATCCAGAGGAAATCCCCTGGGGTGAGGCCGGAGCTGAATATGTTGTGGAATCCACCGGAGTTTTCACTGACAAGGACAAAGCTGCTGCCCACTTGAAGGTCTGCATCTGCATTTGTATTACCTTAGGATGCTCTATCTTGCATTTGCTTTAAAGATTTAGGGTTTAAGGTTTAGCGATTGTTCTAATTATGTTTGTTCCTTTCGGTTGCTTATTAGGGAGGTGCAAAGAAGGTTGTCATCTCAGCTCCAAGTGCAAATGCACCCATGTTTGTTATGGGTGTCAACGAGAAGGAGTACAAATCTGATATCACCATCGTCTCTAATGCTAGCTGCACAACCAACTGCCTTGCTCCACTGGCCAAGGTCGCCTTTGCTACTCGTGATATGCTTGATTGTAAATGTTTATTGGTTTGTATCTGGCTTATAACACTGGTTTTCAAACTTCTTTCTTCCTTTGTATATAGGTTATTCATGATAAATTTGGTATTGTTGAGGGACTTATGACCACTGTTCACTCCATAACAGGTTCGCCATATGCTTCTTGTTAGAGTCCAACATCGGTTAAACTTGGACATTTTTTCTTCAATATATGTTAGAACTCCATTCTCTCCTGAATGACTCTTTTGTAGAGTAATCTAATGGAATTCACATATTCCATCTTGGACATCTATGCACGGGACTGACACTCTGGGACATCTTTGTCCGTCTAGCCTCCAGGGGAGTGTTAGAGTCCCACATTGACTAGACTTGGACATGTTCTCTACAATATATGTTGGTTTCGGAGAGTAATGAAACAGGGTTGATCATGTGGTTTTATTGGATGGGTATGTTGACTGTTGATTAACTAGACTTATGTATCACTCAGCAACCCAGAAGACTGTTGATGGTCCATCGATGAAGGACTGGAGAGGTGGAAGAGCTGCTTCTTTCAATATCATTCCCAGCAGCACTGGAGCTGCCAAGGTATTGTCTTGTTGCTATTTGGCTATACAAAGCTATACGACGCTTGCTAGATGAAAACCAGACCCAGTATATCCCACCTCAAGGTGGATTCTGGGAGTGTAATGTATGAAGACTTGTCATCTACCCTAGAGAATAGAGTGACTAGTGTTGAATTAATGTTTTCAATGACAAGTGTATCTGAATCATGAATTGGTTGTGTGTTTTGAAGGCTGTAGGAAAAGTTCTGCCTGCACTGAATGGGAAACTTACAGGGATGGCCTTTCGTGTTCCTACTGTTGATGTCTCGGTGGTTGATCTTACTGCCAGGCTTGAGAAGCCTGCCTCATATGATGATATCAAGGCCGCTATCAAGTAAGAAACATGTTTGAGTTTGTTGGCATTGGCTGCAAATCATGATCATTGTTAGGATATGTGAAACCCTTTTAAAACCTCTCTAAAACACAACTGAATAGAATTTAAACATTTGATTATTCCATTCCATTTGACATGTTTCTTGGGCTGTTGTGCTGTGTAGGGCTGAGGCTGAGGGAAGCATGAAAGGAATCCTAGGTTTCACCGAGGATGATGTTGTGTCAACAGACTTTGTGGGTGACTGCAGGTAATTAATTATAAGTTTTCGATCTCTTTTGGTAGAAAATTAACGTTAAGAGGCTGTTTACCAACACAAACTAGGTAAGTGCTATGTGTAAGAATGCAGTCCGGGTAAGTGTTGATTAGAACACATCACTCAGCATACTTGTGTGTCGGCATGTGTAGAAGGATAATTGAGTTAGTGTCTGTTTGTTAGCAGCTTAATGGGACTAACAACTTATTCGGCGAGCTACAAATGGCTGTTTGATAGTGGCTTAATGATATAGAAAGTGGCTTATTCAGTAAGCTTCTTAAGAGGAGCTTTATGCAGAAGACCAATTTTTTTTTCCAGACCTACCTCTCCAAATTGAAAAACACAATTCTTCCTTCTATGAAAAGATCCTCCAAAACAAAAACCTTTTCAATCTATATAGATAGATTTATCCACACAGGCAACCTTTTATATATATATATATATATATATATATAAAGAAGTGAATGGAAATCAAGCAAACAGGCCCATAGTAAGTGTTTATGGGTTGTATGTAACAGGTCTAGCATTTTCGATGCAAAAGCTGGGATTGCGTTAAACAACAACTTCGTGAAGGTTGTGTCATGGTACGACAACGAGTGGGGTTACAGGTATGCTTTGGTATCATGTGGATTTGGATAGATGATGAGTTGATTTTAAGATGGTATAATTTTGTTTGCTTGTTGCAGTAATCGTGTTGTTGATTTGATTCGTCATATGGCCAAGAGTTGAAGCGTTCTCGACCACAGTTTTGACTATACTAGTACAACTCCTTAATGAGAGAGATAGGTCGGGATTTTATTTGTTGCAAATGTTTTGAATAAATGCTAAGGTTGTTATTGGGATTATATATATGTATGCCATTGGATGATCTTTATAACCTTTTTTGTGTTTATATGTTCAAGTCTTAGGTCTTAGTAATTTAACGAAAAATAAATAAAAATATTAGAATTGATGTATACATAATAAGACTAACTATTACATATCAACTACTGTACTGAACCATTCTTTGAAGATACAATCACCTTCCATACCCATCCATGTCAACAAACATTGGATTTATATATACTCACCGGATAAGATTCTTCTCCATCTTTGTTATGCCGATGATAAGTGTTTAGTTCTAGTAATTTTAATAATTATTTACGATTTGTTTTTACAAATTATCCATTCAATTCCGTTCCATATCCTATAAACCAAATCATTCAAAATCAAGTCTTATTTTAGATTATGAATCCAAAGCCGTATAATATCCTCACCCAACTTTGCAAACAAATTTTGAGAGTACAAGTAAGTTGCCATTCATTCCTTCCACATTTCAGAATCAACAAAATAGAAATGTACCAACTTCTACAAGAGACCGATTCCGAGCTTTAAACATGAATCCGGCCTTGAAATCAAACACCTCCTGCCAACATGCAACAAGCAGCAGTCAATAAGAAGCCATTCTTCTACAACTGAATCACCCACCATCTACTTACTTCTCAACACCTTTATTTTCTAGTCTAACACAAAACATTAAAATTCAAGACCTGACTGTTGTTTCACTAATGACAAGACAAGTGGGGCAAAATCAAGATGATAAATAGTTTGTAATGATGACCATGAATTTTATTCCAGAAGAGGAAGTTGAATATATTGCAGATATATAGGGAAACAATATTTTTGATTATTTATTCATTCCAATTTTTCGCCTATTTCTGTATCTTCGTACTTGATATTATCGAATATTGATTTCACTTGGTATTCTTGCATGGAAACGGACTCTTTTAAAGAAAAACAAATTCAAAGCCAGCAACTAGGATAAAAAGTACATGAACATATCAATGGTAAATATCATGCCTGCATTATTACTAGTGTAAACTGAATTAAAATTCGAGTTCAGACACGTTAATTGACATTTGATCCCTTAACCTAAGCACATGAAATAAAGATAATTTAGCAGAGTACATATATATATATATATACACATGATAGCAAAGTATCTCCTTCAATTTAAAAAGGAATTGTAGATAGTCCTTCAACAAGACCCCTTTGTGACACCATGAGAATAAGAGGTGTCAGCTTTTCTAACTGCAATCATAATAGAATACACCACCTCTTGAACACACTTGAAGTTAAGACTGACCTTCCATTTTAGCCCACAAACTTGGCATGCATTTCAAACAAAGGAAATGCTAATGACTTCTATTATTAAACTTAGGAATAACTGAATTACAAGTACACAGGCTTGAATATCTTTTGTGAACATGCAAGAAAGAAAATACCATAAAAGATGGAAGCTTGTGGTGGTGCATCACTTAAAAACATTGAAAAACAACTCCAGAAAAACACAACCATGGTGAAGCAGCAGATAAATGAAATAGTCTGTCCACATGAAAATACCATGATGTGAAACAATCAATGGAATGAGCCAACAGATTGCATCATGTTAAGCACCAAATATTTTTATTCTCCCATGAAATTGCAAACAAAGTGCAAAACTTTACATCATGAACAAGACGAGCCCTCATTTTATTCCAAACATATGATCTCACTCCAAAAACTAGCATACTGCTTTTTCTAAAAACACAGATTTAGATAGCTAGTAGCTAATCCACAACTTATAGGCAGATATTCTATATACATGACTAAGAATGCAGACGTTTCTATGTATAAACAGAAGTAAGCATAAGCAAAATTACCAATTTAGCGCGAAGGATTAAGGCCTAGAAGCATCTGGCTCCCGGTGTTGGGAAGGTACATGACATTGTTACTCCTAGCAAGTGTGGAAGAGATCTCCCTTGATGCTTCGATTCTCCTAAGCTCGATCAAGCCCATTCCAGCTGCAGCCGTTGCATCAGATATCAATTTAGCAGATTCACTCTCTCCTTCAGCCCTAATGATTGCAGCGCGCCTCTCCTGCTCCGCCTTAGCAACGACAAACTTAGACCTCTCAGCCTCTTGCTGTGCCACCTGCTTCTGCTCAACGGCCTTAGAGAACTCGGCACCATAAGACAGGTGAGTGATGGCTACATCATCCAGCACAATGTTGAAATCCTTAGCCCTGCGGATCAAGCTGTCACGAACCAAGGCCGAGACATGAGGACGCTCGGTGAGGAGCTGATCGGCGTTAAATTGAGCAACAACAGCCTTCAAGACTTCATTCCCAATAGAGGGAAGAACCTTCTCATCGTACTCAAGACCAAGGGTTTTGAAAATGGAAGGCAGTTTGTTGACTTGAGGGCGAGACAGGACACGTAGGGTTAGGTTNGGAAGAACCTTCTCATCGTACTCAAGACCAAGGGTTTTGAAAATGGAAGGCAGTTTGTTGACTTGAGGGCGAGACAGGACACGTAGGGTTAGGTTGACCATCTGGAGATCTTTGGTACCAGATATGGAAGAGAAAGTATGGGGCTTGGTACGGATATCGAAGATGTAAGGTTGTTGGAGCCAGGGAATGAGGAAATGAGTACCTTCGCCGACGGTATCGTCAATGACTCCACGGAAACGGTCGAAGAGAACGGCGCGCTGGCCACCATCGACGGTGTAGAGGGCGGAGTTGAGGATGGTGGCGGAGGCGCCAAGGCCTAAGGCGGCGCGTGCTAAATTGGTCAAGAAGGAGACTGCTGCTTGATTGGTACCCATTTTCCTTTGTGAAGAAGCAAAAAGTTGGAGGAAGGAGTGATAGTGGAGATTGGAGAAGAAGGGTAAAAACCCTGGGTGATGGATAACTTTTGGGCCGGGTATGGGTCATGAGAACTTGGGCCAACTTTGTTTGGAGTGTTGTAGTTTTATTTTATTTTGGTCATAAAGAACTAAAGAAGTAGGAAGTGATTTAAGAGGGTAATTTGGTCATAAAGATATATATATATATATATATATATATATATAAATCAAGTGGAGTGGAGTGGAGTGGAGATGGTGTGAGTGTAGTCATAAAGATATATGAGACATGGAATTAAATGATGGCATGGTTCAGCTTTTCTTTAAACACAAAAATTCTTTAAAATAAAGATATTAATAATTTTGATTTTGTTGGAATTGTTTAATTGAATGTGAAGGTATTAAATAAAATTTGAAGAAAGAGTTAATTATCTTTTTTTATTAACTAAAAGGAATGCGTTGCCACTATGAGTTAGTGCCAGTGGTCACGCACATATACATATACATATACATAAAAAATATATATATATATATATATTATTTTATGGTTGATGATGTAAATCTTTTTGTATTTGAGTTTCAATTTGAGAAGAATTAATCCAAATCTCATGTTATGAAAGAATATAAGAAGAATTAGTGCAAGACAAAAACATATAATCTCTTCTCGATGACGATAATGACAAGGCGCAAACCCAATGTCTCCCCTTCCCATATCATTTTTATCTCCATTTCCATTTCCATTTCCATTTCCTCAAACCTCTGCAACTCTTCTGCAACTCTTTTTTTTGCCAAAGGTATTCCATCTTTATTATGCATTCCACTTTCACCGTCGAATCTTTTTCTTCCCTTCACAATCCCTTTTCCCTTCTCCATTGGAGGAAAGAAAGACAAATCCCTTTTTATCATTTCACTTCATAATCTCTAATGGTGGTAATAATTTTGTCATCCTTCATTTCTGTTTTTCATGGATTTTTACTTTCATGTTATTGTTTTCAGTGACCATAATAATGATGAATTAGGGTTAGATTTGAGCATGCTTATATCTCTCACTTCATATGCTGCTGCTTTCATCATTCACTCTTTCTCCTGCTTCATTTGGTTTCTTTTTGTGTCAAAAAGTCTGCATCTTTAGCTTACTTTTTTTCTTTTCTTTTCTTTTTGTTAATGCAGATCTTGGAAACAAAATGGTTTCTGGTTTGATAAACCTTTGAATCATCTTTTCCCTTTATTCTTCGTTTTCCGCTTGAATTCTTCTACTCTTTTGTTTATCAATGCCTCCAACATATTTCCCCCTCCGATGGGAGAGCACCGGCGACCGCTGGTGGTATGCTTCTCCCATTGACTGGGCCGCCGCCAACGGCCACTACGACTTGGTCCGCGAGCTTCTTCGCTTGGACGGCAACCACTTAATCAAACTGACATCCCTCCGCCGTATACGGCGGCTTGAGGTTGTTTGGGATGATGAACAGCAGTTTGATGATGTTGCCAAGAACCGTTGTTTGGTAGCCCAGAAGCTTTTACATGAAGGTGAATGCAAAAGAGGAAGAAACTCCTTGATTGGATCTGGGTATGGAGGGTGGCTTTTGTATACAGCTGCCTCCGCCGGCGATTTGGAGTTTGTTCAACAACTGTTACAGAAAGACCCACTTTTGGTTTTTGGTGAAGGAGAGTATGGTGTGACTGATATACTCTATGCTGCTGCTAGAAGCAAGAACACAGGCGTTTTTTGGGTTATTTATGATTTTGCAATGTCTCCGAGGTTCATCTCCGGTGACCGGAGAGTGGTGGAGGAAATCCCATCTGGGTACAAGCAAGAAATGAAGAACAGAGCTGTTCATGCCTTGGCAAGAGGTGGGAACTTGAAGATTTTAATGGAGGCTCTTGGTGATTGTTCTAATGAAGATGTTTTGGCTTATAGAGATATTCAATCTTCAACTATCTTACACACAGCAGCTGCCAAAGGACAGGTTGAGGTAAAAGCTTCCTTCTTGTTCATCTTTAATCCAATCTTTTCTGAGATTTAGATAAAGATTTAGACATATTTAGCGTCTTATAAAACCCATTTTGTTTTTCGTGATTATGACAATAAGTGATCATCTTTGATCAAGTAAGCAAAGAGCTTTATTCAAGAAACATATTGGAATCATCTTTGATCAAGTAAGCAAAGAGCTTTATTCAAGAAACATATTGGAATCATTTTTGATCAAGAAAGCAAACAGCTTTACTCAAGGAACATATTAGAATCATCTTTGATCAAGAAAGCAAACAGCTTTATTCAAGAAACATGTTAGAATCATCTTTGATCGTAAAATGCAGGTTGTTAAAGATCTGATATCATCTTTTGAAATGATCAATTCCGTGGACAAACAAGGCAACACAGCTTTGCATACAGCTGCTTACAGAGGCCAATTATCCACGGTTGAAGTTCTGATCCAAGCATGGCCTTCTTCTATAAATTCAAGAAACAATGCTGGAGAGACGTTTTTACACAAGGCGATCAGAGGTTTCCAAGCTCCAACTTTCAGAAGGCTCGACCGCCAGATTGTTCTCATGAAGCAACTGGTGTGCTCGAAAACATTCAATCTTAAAGAAGCCATTAACGCTAGAGATAATGGAGGACGAACYGCCCTWCATTTAGCCATTAACGGKAACTTACACAGTGATCTAGTGGAGCTACTTATGATCGTGGGTTCGCTTGATGTGAACGTCCGTGATAACGATGAGATGGCTCCACTTGATCTTCTTAAGCAACGGCCACGATCAGMTTCATCAGAATTGCTGACTAGACAACTGATCTCRGCCGGAGCAACTTTCGGTAGTCAAGATTACACAGCAAGAAGAATGATTGCTTCCCATTTGAAAATGGGCAGCATTGGTGGTGGTGGTAGTCCAGGAACTTCTTTCAAACTTTCTGATTCTGAAATGTTTCTATACACTGGGATGGATAGTACTTCCTCTACCACTACCTATGGCACTCCAGTGTTCAGTATGCATTCCGCAGAWCTGAGTCAACTYGACTCGAGTTCRAACTCAAACTCTGAATCCAAGAGCCCCAAAAAGAATAAGCAGAAAGGGATACAGCGATTCCTTCAGTGGGTTAGGAGGAGAAAAGGAGGAAATGAAGGTATGATTTTGACAAGAAACTTGAATGAAATCCCAGTTTCTTTGAGAGAAAGATACTCATCACTTCCGAACAACAAGAGAACACTCGCTGCAAGAAGCAATCTTGTTAGCCCGACMGTYAAAAAGAAAGTTGCTTCTGGATTGGTTRATGGAGTTATGCAGGCAATGCCACATTTGAACCGACGATCGGGATCTAATTCGCAGAGTTCATTGGATAACAAAGATATGGGAGTCGATGTGGTGGGTTCATCGAGCTCGAATCAGATGTTTGATGATGGAGATGATGAAGAACAAGGGGTGGTGAATAGCAGAAGGCTCTGGTGCTGAGCAGCAGCAGCAGGAGATTTATAATAGTTATGTTGTATTAACAAACTTAAAATGTTTTAGTAGATCGGTTTCTTGATCTTGTAATTGCATCCAAATATGTTATGTTGGTTTGGAACTTGGACGTTTTAAGAAACTTGGCTGCAGGTTTATATAGGAGCAAGGAATGAGTAATTGATGATGAATATTATATGAAGTAGTTGACGGTTCCTAAATGAAACTGAGATGCAAATAACTTTCTGTTAAACAGAAGTTTAACAGAAAGTATAGTTTTTCATACAGCATCATTTATATTTTGAGTAATGGTTGAATAGTCACTCGTTTTCTAAAATCTAGAATTAGTTTATTAGTTTAAGTTTTTGTTAAGACGTCTCTAATAGTAACAGGTAATACTAATTTTTACAACAAATTGATGTAAACATTAAATCTTCCATCATAATGTGATGTGATGTGAGATTGTAGGTATATTCCTCTTTAGGGTATAAGTGAATAGTATTATATCAAATTTGGTGTCCCCATTACATTAAAGTGATGTGATATATCAAATTAGGTGTTGAAATGATTTGGTATCAAATTTAGTATTTGGTGTCTCCGTTGCAAATGGTCTAAGACACCTCAAAGCTTGTCTCTTTGTTAAATTTCAAGGTCTTATAGAAACAACCGAGATATATATATATATATATATATATGTAAATTACAACATAAAAACAATTGCTAAAAGATATTTGAATGAATTTAAAATAATCTGCAACAATCATCAATCGACTATTGGCCCCATTCCCCTTTCTTTTCTTATACGATTCTATCACCAATTAGATATCAATCAATAATATTTGAGTAAAAGGTTGTAGGAGAAACCACATGTGAGAATGCATTTGAAAGCTGACTTAACAACTAAGGTTCGCAGAAGAGTTCAAACCCTGCTCCTGCAAGATTTAAACTTGAACATGTTGTATGTTTCAACAAAGTCTCCTGTATACTTACATAGCCGAGAGCTATGTATCTAATTGATTATTTATTATGATTTTGCTGAAATCTTATGCATCACATTTGACAAAATTTAATATAAAATTATCTTTAATTGACGTGTTTAAATTTGATAGATGTGTATTTACCAATAAAACACATGTTGATTATATATATATATATATATATAAACAGCTACAGACAGTCGTTGCCGTAGCAAAATTTACCTTTATTAATTCAAAGATTGGAACCCCTTAAAATCATTGACTTCCAACCTTTTTAATGTTGAGTGCACGTTTACAAATATCAATATGAGATGTCACTTTCCATTATAATTTTTTGACTTTATATGCTTTAATGTTGCCATATACATCACAAATATATTAACCCTGTGAGAAAAAATAAAGGTTCAAAAAGCTCTGTCAGCATCCTTCATAGATGCTGGAGAAAGGTATTTTGGTCATCATAAATGATAAAAACATATTTTTCAAGGAATGGTAATTTTGAACATATTTATGATATTTGGGGAAACGTTAAGCATAGAAAAGAAATTGAGGGTCTATGTGCATGCAAGATTTCTTTAAAAGACAAGAGTGATGATGCAATAAAAGGGTTGAATCTTCTACCCTTTTTTGTCCATAAGAAAAGTAGCAGAAAGAGACACTTGAACCACTTTATATAATTGGGTGCTTTCTCTCCAGGCTCTCAATCTCACATTCATATATTTCTTATCTGCAACAATATGACTCTTCAAACACCCCTTGTCTGTGCTCCTTTTTGGACTCTTCCAAATACCCTTTCTTTGTTTCCTTTTTTGGTTCCATCTAATATGAGTTGCATATGTATGTAACAGGTTGATAACAGAACCGAAAGGGAGAGGGCTATTGATGAATGGCTTCCGGTTTCCTCATCCAGGAACGCAAAATGGTGGTACTCCGCCTTCCACAATGTTACTGCTATGGTTGGAGCCGGTGTTCTCAGTCTCCCTTACGCCATGTCTGAACTTGGATGGTCAGTCACTCATCTCTCAAATCCTACCCTACACTCTTAATTCAAGAATCTTAATACGAATCATCCTTCATTTTCAATTTTCCTTCACCTTGATGTAAAGGGATTTGTGTCTTCCGATCATAAAGAAAGTAAAATTCAGAGAAATCTGACGGTACATAAATAGAAAAAATGAGCGATGAACTCTATAGGAAGGATCATGCTTGAAGTTGAACATTTTGCGAGAAGATGAAAAGCTGCAATATCATATATGATTTGGGTGTATTCAATCATATATGATTAAGCGTCTATGTGTTGTCAAAGTAACATATGTTCAATCATATATGATTAAGCTTGTGTATCATGCGTGCAATCATATACGATATTAAACTTCTCGCCTTCTCGCAAAATGTTTAGCTTCTCGTTTGAACCTATCCCCTATATGTTATACCATCTTGGTAAGATAATACTTTAAAGAGGAGGTTCAAATGAGAACTGTAAATACTATGAAAACCTGGAAACAAACTATTCATATATTATTCATTATGAATGTCGTGATAGATATTCAACACGAAACTTATGAATAATGAAAATGAATAAAGAAACTTTAGGGTTGTTCATAATGAATAATACTTGAAATAGTTGGTTCCTAGATTTTTAGAATATTTATGATGAACAATGAAAATTCATGATATTCATGATGAATGATATCCATGAATATTTAGGGTTATTCACCATGAAGTAGTAGGTTCCCAGATTCTCAAAATATATATGGTTCTCATATGAACTTTCCCCTATACTCTAATATGTGTGAAACCGTTCTTGCATATGAAATTTCAGGGGTCCTGGTGTATCAGTACTGGTGATATCATGGGTTGTAACTCTATACACATTATGGCAAATGGTTGAGATGCATGAAATGGTACCTGGGAAACGATTTGACAGATACCACGAGCTAGGCCAGCATGCTTTTGGCGAAAAGCTTGGTCTTTACATAGTGGTTCCACAGCAGCTCATTGTTGAAGTTGGGGTCAACATTGTGTATATGGTAACGGGAGGAAAATCTTTGAAGAAATTCCATGATCTGATTTGCAATGACAACTGCAAAGACATCAAGCTCACCTATTTCATCATGATCTTTGCTTCTGTCCATTTCGTGCTTTCCCATCTCCCCAACTTCAATTCCATATCTGGAGTGTCTTTGGCTGCAGCAGTCATGTCCCTCAGGTACAAAATATTATCGATAAAAGATGAGAAATTTCATAAAAAGATGCAGAATTTAATTAAAGCAGCATGATGCAGTTACTCTATTATTGCGTGGTCAGCATCTGTGGCAAAGGGTGTGCAGCCAAACGTAGATTATGGATATAAGTCTAGTACCACTGCAGATAAAATATTCAACTTCTTTAGTGCATTGGGTGATGTCGCTTTTGCATACGCTGGTCACAACGTGGTGTTGGAGATTCAAGCCACCATTCCTTCAACCCCCGAGAAACCTTCAAAGGGTCCCATGTGGAAGGGAGTAGTTGTTGCTTACATCATTGTAGCTATTTGTTATTTCCCAGTTGCCCTCATAGGCTACTGGATTTTTGGAAACGAGGTCTCAGACAATATTCTTATCAGTTTAGAGAAACCTACATGGCTCATAGCTATGGCTAATTTGTTCGTCGTCATTCATGTTATTGGAAGCTATCAGGTTCACAATTTATCTCTACCAATGAGTCTCAATCTACTAAAATGTAAATCTGAAATTGTTATGTTTCTTCTGTAGATTTATGCAATGCCAGTATTCGATATGATCGAAACTGTGCTTGTCAAGAATTTGAACTTCACCCCTAGCTTTACGCTTCGCTTTATCACCAGGAATCTTTATGTTGGTAAGTGAATTACTTTGATAATAATTATTCACAAGGACAAGTTATATGCTTAATTGGTTGGTTGACTGTTTCTTTGGCTACAGCATTAACAATGTTCATTGGCATTTGCTTCCCTTTCTTTGGTGGACTTCTGGGTTTCTTTGGTGGATTCGCATTTGCCCCTACGACCTACTTTGTAAGAAACTTCAACTCTTTCCTACTCCTTATTCTCTCTTTTTGGAATCTCTTGTTCTTGATAGATTTATGGTTTTTATTTGTTACCTTTGTGTTCTTTATTGTTTAGTTACCTTGCATCATGTGGCTTACCATCTATAAACCAAAGAAGTGGAGCTTATCTTGGATTACAAACTGGGTATCAATACCTGAAACACTAATTTTCTTATTTTTCAACCATTTTACATATTTATTCATCAGTTCCACTGACACTGCTTCACAAATTCCAGATCTGTATCGTACTAGGGGTTGCTTTGATGATTGTATCACCTATTGGGGGGTTAAGGCAGATCATTGTTGAAGCCAAAGACTACGAGTTCTTCTCTTAAAAAGCTTAAATGAAAACTAGCAGGTTGAGGTTGATGTATCCAACTTGCCCCATATGAAATTAAAGAAGATTGTAATAGTATGTGGAGGTATCAATATTCATACAAGGGGGAGATCCCTTTTAAGTTATCTTAAAGAGAGYAAGTATATGCATTTATAGATTGTTTAGAAGGGAAATGGTCATGGAATTAGTCAAGAAACTTACTTGCAGAAGTTCCAACCCTTCAATTCATTTTTACCGTCATTGTGTGTGTATCTGTATACGTATTTCCACTGTAAATTCATAATGATATACATGTGAATTATATTCTGAAATTCAAATTGCTATATGAAAAAGGGCAGCTGTTTCACAGAGTCCCTAATATCCTGCGTCTTTTAGATCAATATCAATAAATCATGTAATGTACATATATGCTTTTAACAAACCAAAGAGGACTGACGTGATAAGAAAGTTACCTTATCTTTTACCAAACTACATATCATTATGCTGCACTAAGCCTAGTATGTCCAGCTAACCTTAAAAAAGTGCATTTGATTTATTTTCTTTGACCAATTGCATATAGGCAAATCTATCCAGTAGCTTGCCTGGTATACTTGCTAAACCCAAGCAAAGAAAACAGTATATCAACCAAATTTGAAATGAGTTGAGATGTAAAACTGCTGCAGACAAGAATACAAACACACATCTATTTAAGTTTTATGAAACAACAAGTATAAGCTCCTCTTACCAAAGGGACTTTGGCCTAGCGGCATCGTAGCCCTTGGCCTTCTAGGAGGTCAGGGGTTCAAACCTCACCATAGGTGAGAAGCGTGTGTGAGTTTATTTGTTGCATTTGCCGTATATAAATATTATATACTTCAAAAAAAAGTATAAGCCCCTCTTAAACAAGTGTGTGCAGATTTTTGATTTGGCAAGAACAGAGCCAGAAACATCAACTATCAACAATGTAACTTCTGCATGGCCTAACCTATAAAAGGTAGAGAAGCCCTGAAGCAATTGAAGACTATAACTTCAAAGGAGGATATGAACCATAATCCATTGCTCTTGCTCTTCTCCATTAATATCAGAAATAAAAATCATATACATTAGTCTTTTGAATGGCATCAATATACTCGAGTTATACCTACGTAGACCTTACAGCTACAATTTGGAATAAGAGAGAAAAGTACGCCCATAATACCTACCTTTATGGGAGTATGTCTTCACCTTATACCTACGTAGACCTTACAGCTACAATTTGGAATAAGAGAGAAAAGTACGCCCATAATACCTACCTTTATGGGAGTATGTCTTCACCTATAAGCTCATTTTCCATTAATGGTAGATCACCATTCATATAGTTTTACTCCAAACAGGCACACACAAAGGGAACACAATTTCCTTTATCCCACAGCCCAAAACAGCATTTGATAGGCATTAAAGGTTTCTATTGTCATACAAGAATATCATAGGTAACAAGGAACATGCAAATCCTAGTGTTTAAGTTGCTTTTAGGATACCAATCTACTATTGTGAAGTAGCTTTAGGTTGGCAGCTTAGAAGTACCTGATATATTTGCTTCAGATTGATTATTATCAAGTAAACAAGTCTGCAAGTTATGCATTTTGTTCAAGTTCTTTACCCTCGGCATTAGATTGAGTGATGATGCTTTTAACTTTCTCATAACGTCCATGGCCAAGACGCCCGTCATCTACCTCGTTGGACAAGTTCATAATTAATCTGTCTTTCCAAGCCTGTGAAAGCCCTTTACACAACTTCCTTAAAACAGCCAAGTCAGGACCAACAGGCCTCTCTAACATCTCTTTCAAGACATCAAACACACCACCATAATCGTCATTCTGCAAGAAACACAACATCAACATCTTTAATGTATGTTCATTTGGACGACAACCACTCTTTAACATACTTTTGTACAACTTCAAGGCACGATCTGGATTCTTTCGTGCACATTGTCCTCTAATAAGTGCAGCAAAAGTCGAAGAATTTGGGACCAACTTCTTTTTATCAAGTTCTTTAACCAAATAAGCAGCTTTCCTGGTCTTGCCTTCATTGCACAGTCCCAGTAACAATGCATTATAAGTCAAGATATCGGCTTTGATCCCATTCCTCAACATCTCCTCAAAAACCTCATTCCCCTTCTCAGTTTTACCTGCTTGGCAGTACCCACTGATCAATATGTTATACGTTATGGTGTTAGGAGCCACGTCCATGCTTTTCATTTCGTTGAACAACTTATATGCATCGTGTAGCCTCCCTTCCTTACAAAATCCATGAATTAATGTGTTATAAGTGATGGCATTAGGCCTCACTCCGTTCTTCTCCATTGTCACTTTTAGCTTAATTCCAGTCGTCAGAAGGCTCTGGTGAACGTATCCGGCAATCAATGTGTTATAAGACGAAACAGAACCATTAAACCCCATATCTTGCATTTCATCAAACACCTTAACAGCATTCTCTAGTTCCCCCAATTGGCAAAAGGCATTGATCACAATATTGAGGGTGAACACATTGACTGTGATCTTGGATCGCCTTATTTCCTTGTAAAATGATAACGCAATACCTGCTCGATTCAAACTAAGCAATGAGCTCATATACAAATTACATGATTGGATGGTGGGCAGAAATCCGTATTCCTTCATCCGGCAAAATGTATCTGTTGCATTCCTAAACTGCTTCATTTGTGCATACAATTTGAAAAGTGCATCGAAAACACGGGGAGTTGAGTCACACATCCTGTAAGAGTGAAGAATAGCATCAAAGAGCTTAGAATGCATTTCCACATCACAGGAACCGACAATCTTCTCCAAAACAGATTCCGCGGACACAAATTTGTGGTTCTTGGTGAGGATATGCAGGATGATGCAATTGGTTTCGAGGGTGAGTAGATTAGGGTTATGAGTTTCAACCCATTTGAAGAATTTGAGGGAAATGGCGTAATCGTTCTGAAGCTTCAACAAAACGTGCTTCACTCTAAACGAGTCAAAATTAGTCAACAGTTCATCTAGCTTAGCCCAATCAGAATGAAGAAGATGACTGTGAGCTACGTTAATATAATCAAGATCTTGACCTCTGGGTTCGTGGATAGTTCTGTGGGGTATTGGAATAGGGATCCATTTACGTCTGCCAAGTAGAGAGGAATTAGGGTTTTTGATGGCAGAATCAAGCAGAGTTGAAATTCGACGAATTTGCATAAAGTTCATGATTATTAACAGAGAGCGATGGAAGTGATAAAGAAGAGATTGAAAATGAAGCTGCTGCAGAAGAGTTGCTCGGAGTTACAGGATTGGAAATCCTAGGCCTTCGATCGTTGACACTTTGTTGACGATCGATCACCATCTCCTTCCTTCTTCCATCTGCAACATATGATTTACTTACTCCACTCCAAAGGTGCAGGATTTTGTATTACAAGAGTAAATTACGTTTTTAGTCTCCATAGTTTGTTAAAAATGGTGATTTTAGTCCTCATGGTTTAAAATTTAAAGTTCTCGTCCCTATGATTTATAATTTATTGCTATCTTGACCTCCATAGAGAAGTATGTGTTGATTTAACCTCCGACAAAGCAAAACATTTCACTTTCCTTTAATATGAAATCTTTTTTTTTTTTTTTCTTTCTGAAAACAAATCGGGTGAACTTTGAGTTATTCTTGGTTTGTCTTCGACTATGAACTATGGAACCCCCATCTCCTCTCGGAAGAACGTTTGTTGGGCTTATTTTATGCATCTTGTCGCTTCTTTAATTTCTCACTGTTTGGTTTGAAGAACGAATAAATAAAATAACAATAGAGAAATATATTTTCTTTTAAAAAAAAAAAATACTAGTTTTGGCCTCCCTCAACTGTCATATTCATGTTGCATCTGGATTTTATTATGGGCTGTTTGGCAGTTGCTGAATGATTTTGTACAGAATGGTTAAGTGGTCAGAATGGTTAAGAGGGTCAGAATGGTTAAGTGCTGAATGAAATATGGTTGTTTGGTAAATGTTCTCTGAATGATAACAAATTACCATTTTAACCCTCTGTATGATTTAGTACTGAATGAAATATAACTGTTTGGCAGATATCTGAATAAAACAATTA